AGTTCCTTCAATCACAGCAAGTGAATTAAAGCAAGCAACAATTCAAGATCCAATCCTGATTCTGATATCCTAATGTCTGCAGTCTGAGTGGCCCAGAAAAGACGAACTTGATGAACAAATGAAACCATTCTTTCAAGTCCGAGATGAACTTTCATGGTGCAACGGCTTAGTCTTCAGAGGAGAACAAGTAGTAATTCCAGACACACTCACTAGCACAGTCAGTTCCTTGGGTCATGAAGCACACCAAGGCATTGTACGCACCAAAGCAAGACTATGCAAGCTCTACTGGTGGCAAGGAAGAGATCGTCAAGTGGAAGAGAAGCTAGCAAACTGTGAGATATGTAATACCAGTGACAAATCTGCTTCAACTAGATATGCTCCAATGACTCCAACAGCATGGCCTGAAGGCCCGTAGGAAAAGCTGGCTATCGACATAGTGGGACCAATTGAAAACCCCTGCTGACTGTCGTTTTGCTATTACGTTCGTTGACTATTTCAGTAAGTGGCCAGAAGTAGGATTCTCGGCAAGTGTTACAATAGAAACTGTCATCAAATTCTAACTAACAGTCTTCAGTCGGGAAGGATACCCTCTTGAAATTGTGTCAGACAATAGCTCACAATTTGTCTCCATTCCGTTTGAACAATTTCTGAAGGACAGAAATACAAAGCACATTAAATCTGCTCTGTACTATCCACAAGCAAATGGGCTTGTTGAGCGTTTCAACAGGAATCTGAAAAGCTGCATACAACTTGATAAAATCCAGAGTAAACCACTCAACCTTGTAGTGAAAGAATTTCTCTGCATTTACCGCACAACTCCTCATGCAACTACTGAAGAATCCCCATCATTCCTGCCACATGGTTGGAAGATGAGAACAGGTCTTGACATTGCAGGTGTCCCTAATGCTCCTAACAAAAGTTACTTCAGAACGTGAGTCACAGAAAAGCAGCTGAAGTACAAGAAGCGAGCAGATAACTTGAGAGGCGCAAAAAATCCAGATTTCTCAGTTGGTGATGAAGTAAGGATAAAGAAACCTGGTCATGTTCCAAAAGGGGAAAGCAGATATTCAGGTCCTACAGTAATTACTGGGCAGAAAGGACCTGCAACATTCATTACTCAGAGTGAACATGGAAGTCAGGTGTGGAATGCATCACGTCTGTCAAGTGTAAAGTCATGAGCTCAGGCACCAGAGATACCATCTGGTACAGAGAATCATCAGGGTGAAGCTCCAGACATTAACAGTGATAAAACACCAAATCAGGAACCAAGATGTTCGACAAGAGAAAGAAATTCTCCGGGATGGACCATAGACTTTGTCATGAACTGATAGGAACTGTTCCCATGAACGTTATTGTGTGTTAACTTGTTTATGCTGAATTGAACTTTGAGTGATCAGTTTCAAGTAAGTTGCAGTTTTGAGATATCTTTCAACATGTGTTACAGTTCAGCTGAAGGTGTCATTCAGATATTTTAGAGTATCACTACATTACAGTATTACAGTATTACTAGAGTAGAATCTATCATGGACTCTAAACACCAGTTTAAGCAACTTCCTAGAAATGCACTGCTAGTACAGTTATGTAGTTCAGAATATTTTCATTGATAGTTATACTTGCATGTCTCCATAAGATTGTAGACTGTTTAAAAGTTTGTGCTGTTTTAGTTCAATGTGTAAGTAAGCCTTTCATTCCAAAGGGGAAAATATGTTATGGCATTATGTACACTCAATGTAGTGGTCTACGGCAGATAACTCTGGACATCTTATGTTATAAAATGTACTCTTCAGTTAGGGAGTAAGAAAAATTAAATTGAGTTCCAATATGTCTGCCTGCATGTATGCCATGTGCTCTGTGTGAATTAAAACCCTGGTCTTACATTTCCTGAATCCATTATACATCATTTGGCGACATTCTAGGGTTTTTGGCGATGTTTTGGAATGATCATTGGCGATTTGACAAAAGACAGATCACTAATATGCTATTTTTTGAAAATATTTCTCTGAGTAAATATAAGAAATTAAAGATATCAAAACATGCTGTAAATAACGTTGTGAGTTGTGATTTAGTAATGTGTAAAAAATGGCGACATTTACGATTTACCTATTTTTTTAAGATCATTTTCAGTATTTTTGCTTTGCCTAAATTGCAAGTGGTTGATATCACAGAACTGGGAATTTCCCACATTATTCAAAACTGTGAAGTGTATCTGTCTGCCCAATGTATTTTGAATTTTATTCGACTTCAAAGTGAAGGTTAAAGTGAAGGTTGAAGAGGAGGACATCGTGCCCCACTGATGCTGTATTTCTGCTACCACTGTATTGAGCTGTCGCGATCAATACCGACAAGTGGTTTAGCTGAACCTGCCATGCTTTGACAGCTTGGAATATAACTCTCACCTCCAGACAGTTATGCATCTTCCTGGCCATTTCCCTTGAACTACAACGTCATCCAAGTGAGCTCCCCATCCCTCACCTGAAGCGTCTGTGTATAAGTGATGTTGTTGGGCGTTGAGGTGGTGGAGGTGGTGGAGGTTGAGTAAGGTCTAGGTCCAGCTCTCTGGTTGTGTTCATCCAGGCTTGTAAGATAACTGCAGCTTCCCACTGTAGGTAACATCTTGGAGAGATGTAAGTGTACCTAGACATGACATCCGTCAACGGCACAACCTGATGGGCTAGTCATGTGTGCTTGGGTTTACCTTGACAAGTTGAAATCTTATGTCTTGAGAAGGCACTGACTTGTCGGGATGAACCAGGAATCCCATATATGGGTGTAGTTGAGTGAGGAATGAGGAAGACTCAATTTGCTTGCTTTGCTTTGCTTTGCGACTTGTCCTGATCTGTCAATGTAGCCGTGATCTGGGTCAATAGCTACGGAGCAATCGATATGCTGAATGGTAGAAAGTTGTACTGAAACCTCTGATAAGGTTGACAACTTGAATGAATGGTGACTTGAAGATAAGCGTCATTTAAGTCTAGATTTATCATCCAATCTCCTCAGGTGAGGGAGCTCCTAAGCTTCTTGATCAGCATATGGAACTTGGGAGGCTGTACTAGATAATCCTTGTTGAGTACATGTCTGATGTAGTTTTCTTTGGAAACAGGAAGACTGGTGAGTAGAATCCCTTGTGGTGTCTGACTCTTTTAAAGTGCTGATGGTTTCCTTGTCTGAAGGGTTCTGTTTGGTCAAGTGTGAGGCAGCTAGCTTGGCTCCTGCCAGATGAAGAAGTATGTATTTTAGCTGATATTCTGAAAGATGTAAATTCTGATGACAAAAACAGCAGTTGGGAGAATTTGAGATCTGTCCCTTTTCTTTCACTCATGATCATTATAAACTTAAGGTATAAAATGTTATTCATGGTTATTATTGGTGATTGCAGATTGAGTCGACTTCATCTTTGTATGAATGAACTGCTCCATATTGAAGGGGACAGGAAGCCTGGCGCTTGCTGTTCAGCCACTCTGGTGCTGCAATCCGGAGAGAGTAATGGAGAATCCACTTCTCATCACCTTCATCAAACAATGTATCAACAAGTATTTGTCACAGAGTGACGAAATATCCCCCGCCTGTACACCATAGTACCAAATATGAAGACAATCCAGCGATTAGTTCTTGAGATATTGTGGCAACACCGTTTTCCAACTCCAAAAACAGATTTGCCTGCTGTGACCTTGAAAATGGGGTCAAGGTCACCAAATCTGACAGGTGTATGCGGTGTCTGTATATACACTATAGTTCCAAATATGAAGACAATCCAGCGATTAGTTCTTGAGATATCGCGGCAACACCGTTTTCTAACTCCAAAAGCAGATTTGCCTGCTGTGACCTTGACAATGGGGTCAAGGTCACCAAAACCGACTGGTGTCTGCGGAGTCTGTATATACACCATAGTTCCAAATATGAAGACAATCCAGTGTTTAGTTCTTGAGATATCGCGGCAACACCGTTTTCCAACTCTAAAAGCAGATTTGTCTGCTGTGACCTTGAAAATGGGATCAAGGTCACCAAAACCGACTGGTGTCTGCGGAGTCTGTATATACACCATAGTTCCAAATATGAAGACAATCCAGTGTTTAGTTCTTGAGATATCGCGGCAACACCGTTTTCCAACTCTAAAAGCAGATTTGTCTGCTGTGACCTTGAAAATGGGATCAAGGTCACCAAAACCGACTGGTGTCTGCGGAGTCTGTATATACACCATAGTTCCAAATATGAAGACAATCCAGTGTTTAGTTCTTGAGATATCGCGGCAACAAACAGGTGGGACGTACGGACGGACGGACGGACGGACGTACGGACGGTCGTGAATACTATATCCCCCGCTTCGCGCTTTCGCGCGGCGGGGGATAATCAATGTGAAAATTCTCTCGTAAGCAGATTGATAACTAGTAATTAAAATGAATTAACTGTTGAAAAACTTACAACTTGACAGATCAAACCATTTGTGAGGTAAATACACTGGGAATTGTTTTCCTTGTTTAATTTAGCACACACAGGAAAGAAGTGAAGTCTTCCTGCCTTCGCCCATTAGCAGATGCTGTTGGTCTATGAATACTATCTCCCTTAGGACTATTACATAGCTGCCAGTGAAGAGGGGAATCTGTTGAAAATCTAAGATTTTATAGTGAGGACAACCAAACTGCTGGATTTATGGCTCTGATGTAATGGAGGTTATGTATTCAAAGGAATTATTTATTCAACTAATTCAACTAGATATTTTTCTGATATTTACATGTTTACAAGTTGGTTGGTTCTCTAGTTACCGTGGAGAAGATGTTTACTGACATAGGTGACACAGACAGCAGGTCATGACATAATCACACTTAATCAAGTGAGCAGTAAAGGCAACTTGTCTGTCACAAAAATACTCAAAAACCATCAGTTCTCTCCAACTTGTTAAAATGTTGATATGAAAAGCACCCCACACAAGTAGAACAAGTTCTTTCTGATGCACAATTTATGCATTTTTCTTGATATTTAGAGAGAAAACATTTTGCACTCACATTTTCCTGCAGTGGTATTTTAATATCATTTTCCAGGGCATTGTTGATAATGTAGCAGCTCATTATCTTTCGACCTTTGTAGTCAAAGTACTCAAACATGGGTCCATAGTGTTGAAGCTCTAGCACTGTGAGCAGGTTGTTGTATTGGTCCACTGGAATCTTCATTAGTCTCATCAGCTCTTTTGACACTGGGGTTCCATGCTCCAGACTACAACATGCACAATCTTGAGGTCATCTGCACATGTCGCAAACTGAAAACCTCATCACCTGTTCCTAAATAGTCAAAACCTCTCAACACATCCCTCCAGAAATATGTATACTGTAACCTCTCAACACATCCCCCAGAAACATGAATACTGTAACTCCAACACATCCCCCAGAAACATGGATACTGTAACCTCTCCACACATCCCCCAGAAACATGAATACTGTAACCTCTCCACACGTCCCCCAGAAACATGTATACTGTAACCTCTCCACACATCCCCCAGAAACATGGATACTGTAACCTCTCCACACATCCCCTAGAAACATGAATACTGTAACCTCTCCACACGTCCCCCAGAAACATGTATACTGTAACTCCAACACATCCCCCAGAAACATGTATACTGTAACCTCTCAACACATCCCCCAGAAACATGGATACTGTAACCTCTCCACACATCCCCCAGAAACATGAATACTGTAACCTCTCCACACGTCCCCCAGAAACATGTATACTGTAACTCCAACACATCCCCCAGAAACATGGATACTGTAACCTTTCCACACGTCCCCCAGAAACATGTATACTGTAACCTCTCAACACATCCCCCAGAAACATGTATACTGTAACTCCAACACATCCCCCAGAAACATGTATACTGTAACCCCTCAACACATCCCCCAGAAACATGTATACTGTAACCTCTCCACACATCCCCCAGAAACATGTATACTGTAACTCCAACACATCCCCCAGAAACATGTATACTGTAACCCCTCAACACATCCCCCCAGAAACATGTATACTGTAACCTCAACACATCCCTCCAGAAACATGTATACTGTAACCTCTCAACACATCCCCCCAGAAACATGTATACTGTAACCCCTCCACACATACCCAGAAAGATGTATACTGTAACCTCTCCACACATCCCCCAGAAACATGTATACTGTAACCTCTCCACACGTCCCCCAGAAACATGTATACTGTAACCTCTCAACACATCCCTCCAGAAACATGTATACTGTAACCTCTCAACACATCCCCCAGAAACATGCATACTGTAACCTCTCAACACATACACACCCAGAAACATGCATACTGTAACTCCAACACATCCCTCCAGAAAAATGTATCCTGTGACCTCTCAACACATCCCCCCAGAAACATGTATATTGTAACCTCTCCACGCATCCCTCAGAAACTTGTACACGGTAACTCTTAAAAGTTCTTCCAACTTCTGAATGCCTATAAAAGACTAGATCCATCTGAACATATGGAATGAATATGACTCACTGGTCCAAGTTGAGCCTGTGGAAGATCTCTTCTGTTGTCTCGAGTACCTTGTCTACATAGTCTACCTTGTCTGGGTAGCATTTCAGTGCCAAGTTGATCAGTGCAACTTGCAAAGCTACTATGTCCTCAGGCGGCATTTCAGGGCGATTCTGGAAGAAAGTTAGTCCAGTGCAAACAGACCTAAAATGCAATCTACATGTGAAACAAGCATGAAAGACTCCCATCCCCAGCCAAGATGACATGTCCGGTTGTGTGCAAGGTTATTGCCCCTGTGAACTATGTTCATTGGAACTTTTGGTAAATGGCCTATTTGCAAGGACTAAAAAGATGATTAAACCAACTGTGAGTGAGTGAGTGTGGTTTTACGCCGCTTTTAGCAATATTCCAGCAATATCACGGCGGGGGACACCAGAAATGGGCTTCACACATTGTACCCATGTCGGGAATCGAACCCGGGTCTTCAGCGTGACGAGCGAACGCTTTGACCACTAGGCTACCCGACCGCCCCCTAAACCAACTGTGAGGAAGTAGGTTGGTTCAGGTGCCAGTTGTAAATTGTGGTTTGTGTTTTTTTTTACAATAATTCCCTATAAACCTCATACAAGTTTATCAAGTGCTATATATCTCAATCAGGTAATTATCTTAGACCTATTTTGCAGAAAATCTAAAACAGCATGACAATTTCAGTACTGTACAAAATTTCATGGAAAATATATTTAAAACATAATTGATACATGATTCAGAAATGAACACTACAACCCATCTAGTTACGCTCTGGTAATGAAAGCAACCCATATTTGGGTTAACTCCAAATTGTCACAATGGAAGCAGCAAGAGGCACCAGTTCAGCATGTGTTTGATACATATGCAAAGTTTCATAATAATATATCACACCATTTCCGAGGTATGCTCAGGAAACGAATGTTACACATATTTGAGTCTACGTCCAGTTTGTTGCCACAAAAAACATTGTTTTAGAAAAAACAAAACATCAAAAGGCACCAGTTCAGCATGTGTTTGATATATAGGTGCAAAGTTTCATAATTAATATTAAACAGTTTTTGAGTTATGCTCTGGAATGAAATGGTATCTAAGCCTGCTCCGGAAACGAAACGGTATCCCAGCCTCTCTCATGACACTTCCCGGGGTTGACTGGAGTCGGTACATACCTGAATCACCTGTGCAATCTGTTGGGAAAAGATATCAAACAACTGGATGTCGGCTGGTATTCCACTTCCTTCCTCATTCTGTGCAAATGCAGCCAGTCTGAAGCAAACAATTCAAGAACATTGGCTTTTTCTGACTGATTTCATGTGGCAGTTACTAAACCTACTTGAGTGTACTGGTACTTTTATGTTTGTTTGTTGTTTAATGCCGCACTCAGCAATATTCCAGCTATATGACAGTGGTCTGTAAAGATCGAGTCTAGACCAGACAACCCAGTGACTGATATCTTGAACATTGATCTATATAACTGGGATACGATGCAATGCATCAACCAAGCCAGTGAGGCTGACCCCCCGATCCTGTAAGTCGCCTCTTACGACGACAGGCATGGGTTTGCTGAAGAACTATTCTGGAGGTACGTGTTGAGGTTACAGTATACATGTTTCTGGGAGGATGTGTAGAGAGGTTACAGGATACATGTTTTAGGGGGGGGGGGGGGGGGGGGGATGTGTGGAGGGGTTACAGTATACATGTTTCTGTAGGGGATTGTGTTGAGGTTACAGTATACATGTTTCTGGGAGGATGTGTAGAGAGGTTACAGGATACATGTTTCAGGGGGGGGATGTGTGTAGGGGTTACAGTATACATGTTTCTGGGGGATGTGTGGAGAGGTTACAGTATACATGTTTCTGTAGGGATGTGTTGAGGGCTTCGCTATACATGTTTCAGGGGGGGGGGGGGGGGATGTGTGGGGGGGTTACAGTATACATGTTTCTGGGGGATGTGTGGAGAGGTTACAGTATACATGTTTCTGTAGGGATGTGTTGAGGGCTTCGCTATACATGTTTCAGGGGGGGGGGGGGGGGGATGTGTGGAGGGGTTACAGTATACATGTTTCTGGGGGATGTGTGGAGAGGTTACAGTATACATGTTTCTGTAGGGATGTGTTGAGGGCTTCGCTATACATGTTTCAGGGGGGGGGGGGGGGGGGAGATGTGTGGAGGGGTTACAGTATACATGTTTCTGGGGGATGTGTAGAGAGTTTACAGGATACATGTTTCTGGGGGATGTGTGGAGGGGTTACAGTATACATGTTTCTGGGGGATGTGTTGAGGGGTTACAGTATACATGTTTCTGGGGGATGTGTGGAGAGGTTACAGTATACATGTTTCTGAAGGGATGGGTTTGAGTTACAGTATACATGTTTCTGGAGGATGTGTTGGAGTTACAGTATACATGTTTCTGGAGGATGTGTTGAGAGGTTACAGAATTCATGTTTCTGGGGGATGTGTGGAGAGGTTACAGTATACATGTTTCTGGAGGATGTGTTGGAGTTACAGTATTCATTTTTCTGGAGGATGTGTTGAGAGGTTACAGAATTCATGTTTCTGGGGGATGTGTGGAGAGGTTACAGTATACATGTTTCTATAGGGATGTGTTGAGGGGTTACAGTATACATGTTTCTTGGGGATGTGCTGAGAGCTTACAGTATACATGTTTCTGGGGGATGTGTTGAGGGGTTACAGTATACATGTTTCTGGGGGATGTGTGGAGAGGTTACAGTATACATGTTTCTGTAGGTATGTGTGGAGGGGTTACAGTATACATGTTTCTGGGGGATGTGTTGAGGGCTTACAGTATACATGTTTCTGGGGGATGTGTTGAGTGGTTACAGTATACGTGTTTCTGGGGGATGTGTTGAGGGGTTACAGTATACATGTTTCTGGGGGATGTGTGGAGAGGTTACAGTATACATGTTTCTGAAGGGATGGGTTTGAGTTACAGTATACATGTTTCTGGAGGATGTGTTGGAGTTACAGTATACATGTTTCTGGAGGATGTGTTGAGAGGTTACAGAATTCATGTTTCTGGGGGATGTGTGGAGAGGTTACAGTATACATGTTTCTGGAGGATGTGTTGGAGTTACAGTATTCATGTTTCTGGAGGATGTGTTGAGAGGTTACAGAATTCATGTTTCTGGGGGATGTGTGGAGAGGTTACAGTATACATGTTTCTGTAGGGATGTGTTGAGGGGTTACAGTATACATGTTTCTTGGGGATGTGCTGAGAGCTTACAGTATCCATGTTTCTGGGGGATGTGTTGAGGGGTTACAGTATACATGTTTCTGGGGGATGTGTGGAGAGGTTACAGTATACATGTTTCTGTAGGTATGTGTGGAGGGGTTACAGTATACATGTTTCTGGGGGATGTGTTGAGGGCTTACAGGATACATGTTTCTGGGGGCTGTGTTGAGAGGTTACAGTATACATGTTTCTGGGGGATGTGCTGAGAGCTTACAGTATACATGTTTCTGGGAGGATGTGTAGAAAGGTTACAGGGTACATGTTTCTGGGGGATATGTTGAGAGGTTACAGTATACGTGTCGGGGGGGATGTGTTGAGGTTACAGTATACATGTTTCTGTAGGGATGTGTAGAGAGGTTACAGGATACATGTTTCTGGGGGATATGTTGAGAGGTTACAGTATACATGTTTCGGGTGTGTGTGTGTGAGTGTGTGTTGAGGTTACAGTATACATGTTTCTGGGGTGTGTGTATAGAGAGGTTACAGTATACATGTTTCTGGGGGTGGGTGGGGTCTGTTCAGGTTACAGTATACATGTTTCTTGGGTGTGTGTATATAGAGGTTACAGTATACATGTTTCTGGGGGGGGGGGGGGGGGGGGGAATGCGTTGAGGTTACAGTATACATGTTTCGGGGGGTGGGGGTGTTGAGGTTACAGTATACATGTTTCTGGGGGGGGGGATGTGTTGAGGTTACAGTATACATGTTTCGGGGGACGGGGTCTGTTCAGGTTACAGTATACATGTTTCTGGGGTGTGTTTATAGAGAGGTTACAGTATACAAGTTTCTGGGGGGGGGGGGGGGGGATGTGTTGAGGTTACAGTATACATGTTTCGGGGGGTGGGGGTGTTGAGGTTACAGTATACATGTTTCTGGGGGGGGATGTGTTGAGGTTACAGTATACATGTTTCGGGGGTGGGGGTGTTGTGGTTACAGTATACATGTTTCTGGAGGATGTGTTGGAGTTACAGTATAAATGTTTCTGGAGGTAGTGTTGAGAGGTTACAGAATTCATGTTTCTGGGGGATGTGTGGAGAGGTTACAGTATACATGTTTCTGTAGGGATGTGTTGAGGGGTTACAGTATACATGTTTCTTTGGGGATGTGCTGAGAGCTTACTGTATACATGTTTCTGTAGGGATGTGTGGAGGGGTTACAGTATACATGTTTCTGGGGGATGAGCTGAGAGCTTACAGTATACATGTTTCTTGGGTGTGTGTATAGAGAGGTTACAGTATACATGTTTCTGGGGGGTTGGGGTCTGTTCAGGTTACAGTATACATGTTTCTGGGGTGTGTGTATAGAGAGGTTACAGTATACATGTTTCTTGGGGGGGGGATGTGTTGAGGTTACAGTATACATGTTTCGGGGGGTGGGGGTGTTGAGGTTACAGTATACATGTTTCTGTAGGGATGTGTAGAGAGGTTACAGGATACATGTTTCTGGGAGGATGTGTTGAGAGTGAGTGAGTGAGTGAGTATGGTTTTACACCGCTTTTAGCAATATTCCAGCAATATAATGGCGAGGGACACCAGAAATGGGCTTCACACATCCAAACCCGAGTCTTCTACATGACGAGCAGGTGCTTTAACCACTACGCTACCCAACCACCCGTTGTGTTGAAAGGTTACAGTGTACATTTCTGGGGGGATGTGTTCAGAGGTTAACAGTATACATGTTTCTGGGGGATGTGCTGAGAGCTTACAGTATACATGTTTCTGTAAGGATGTGTGGAGGGGTTACAGTATACATGTTTCTGGGGGATGTGTTGAGGGGTTACAGTATACATGTTTCTGGGGGATGTGTTGAGGGGTTACAGTATACCTGTTTCTGGGGGATGTGTTGAGGGGTTACAGTATACATGTTTCTGGGGGATGTGTGGAGAGGTTACAGTATACATGTTTCTGTAGGGATGTGTGGAGGGGTTACAGTATACATGTTTCTGGGGGATGTGTAGAAAGGTTACAGGATACATGTTTCTGGGGGATGTGTTGAGGGGTTACAGTATACATGTTTCTGGGGGATGTGTTGAGGGGTTACAGTATACATGTTTCTGGGGGATTTGTTGAGGGGTTACAGTATACATGTTTCTGGGGGATGTGTAGAAAGGTTACAGGATACATGTTTCTGGGGGCTGTGTTGAGAGGTTACAGTATACATGTTTCTGGGGGATGTGCTGAGAGCTTACAGTATACATGTTTCTGGGAGGATGTGTAGAAAGGTTACAGGGTACATGTTTCTGGGGGATATGTTGAGAGGTTACAGTATACGTGTCGGGGGGGATGTGTTGAGGTTACAGTATACATGTTTCTGTAGGGATGTGTGTTCAGAGGTTAACAGTATACATGTTTGTTTGTTTGCTTGTTGTTTCATGCCGCACTATGATGGCAGTCTATAAATGAATGAGTCTGCATCAACTGAGTCAGCAAGCCTCAAGCATGCCGGGTTGCTGAAGACCTATTCGAACCCGAATCTTCACGGGTGGTACTACTACTACTACTACTACTACCTAAGTGTACTACTACAACTTGAGTGTTCTACTAAAGCCCTGTTTATATGGCGACAACTGCACACATGTGTATTTTTTGCATATGTGCAAATTTGCTTATGTGAGCAAATTTGACCGTATGGACGCATTTACTCATATGAGTAAATTTACACCTAGTTGGGACTAGGTGCAAATTTGCTACAACCTGTGAGTATATGCAGTTTAGATGTGTATTTTTTGCTACCATGAGCAAATTTGGTCGTATGGACGCATAGCAAATTTACATACAGAAAGTATATTTCCCAACTTATTGCATAATATCTATTTTAAGTGCGTGTTATTGGCAACACTTAATCCTCATTGGTCAAATTATACCAGTTGATGTCTAGACTTCAAACAGACCAGACCAGCAAAAATGGCTAGCAGAAAAAGAACAAATGAGGGCCAAAAAAGTGGGGCTGCATGGAGCGACGATGAAACGAGATGTCTTTTAGGAATATGGGAAGAGAATTGTATTGAAGAACAACTTGAAAACCCCAAAACAAATAATGGGTCTATTTATAAAACGGTTGCAAGCGAAATGGCTGAGAAGGGTTTCGAGAAAACACGAGATCAATGTAAAGTACGCATTCATACTCTAAAAAGTTCGAACAGAGAATGTAAAACAAGCATGAAAAAGAGTCCTAAAGGAAGGAAAACCTGCAAATTCTTCGAAGAACTGGACGTCATTCTCGGAAACAGACCAGCATCATTGCCGCTGAAAGTGATCAATACTTTAAGGAAGAAAGCTGGACTCGAAGAAGCTGATGAAAGTGATTATGATGATAATGATTATGGGGACATTCCGCAGTCTGTCAACGATGATCTCAGTGGCATTACACCTCTTGAGAGAGAAGATGATCACAGAAAGGAGAAGGAGTCGTCAGACACAAAAGGCAAAAAGGATGAAGGATTGGTAGAAAAAAGGAAGAAAGAAAAATCTGCTGACAAAGCGAAGAGCAAAAAGAAAAGGATGTGAAAGACAAGGTTGGAAGTGGCACTGAAGTCAGTCATGGATGGATTTGGTGCAGCCAATGAGAAAGCAGGGACTTGGAGAAACAAAATCTCGACTTGGAAAAGGTGAAAATAGAATCAGAGGAAAGACAGAAGAGGGAGGAACGTGAACATCAACTCAACATGATGAAGATGATTATGGGAGCAATCGGCCAACAACAGGCAGGGCAACCACATTCAATGCCATCATTCCCTGTGAGCATGAGTCCTATGCATTCTGGTGAAGGTCAAGTTTACAGAGGTCAAGGTCCTTCCTCACTCTCGTATTCAAGTCATGGTCAGTCGTCTGGCACTAACCCTTCATGGTCATCTTCAGACACGGATAAGCAAGAACATTTTTCAATCTGTGAAGCACTGTATTCTTGTGAAGAATTAAGGACACAACTTGTATTTACATACAGAACAGTAAAAAAACCTGCAAGTTTTGCGGAAACGAACTTTATTTTAATTTGTGAAAACGTTTCATATTTGGTGATTTACACTTCATGTTTGAAGTCAAGAGTAATAATTCACTAAAGCAAACACTTTTGAAACTTTAAGTTTATTACGGTTTCTTTACTTGCACAAGGCTGTGTGAGATGATCATGTAAAAATCACATGAAAGCAAAAAAAGTTGAAAACTTGTAACTCTCTGTCATTCTCGAATATGCACTTGCATATATGGTGTCGTAAAAAACAATGTTAACCAGAAAGCCTGTGCAATATCATCCCTCAGGGTCTTTGCACAACGGACAGGTTCGTCACCTCCATCCTGTATGCCCACTTGTTCATCTGCGTCATCATCTGTGTCTTCATTCCACTCATCCCTGAAGGTTTCATTGACACTCTCACATATGTTATGCAAGACAATGCAACAGCCAATCACCGAGCAAGCAAACTCCACATCGATGTCCAATCGCTTTTGTAAGCATCTCCAGCGTCCCTTCAAACGACAGAAGGCATTCTCTATCGTCATCCTTGCCCTGCTAGGAGATAGTTGAATGTGGCTTAAGCAGGAGTTAGATTGGCTCTGTTGGAGAAAGGCCTTAAAAGCCATGTCTTTAATGGGTAGGCCGCATCACCAAGTAGTACCACTGGCATATTGGAATCACCAACCTTCTTGCTCCATGTGGGGACAAGAATGCCATTATCACCTTGAATGTAAATATCTGAATTGGCTAACATGCGGGCATGGTGGACCCGACCTGGCCACCCAATGTTAATGTCTCTAAACATGTATCGATGGTCACAAACTCCCTGTTGGATCAGTGAGTAAAAACATATCCTGTTCAAGTAATCGCCATGTGACTGTTTGGGGGTGATGATGGGAATGTGACTACCATCAATGGACCCTGCACAGTTAGGAAAATCCCATTTATCACATCCTTCAGGGCTTCCCCCTCAGGGAATTTGACATACTCATCCAATAGGACTTTCAAAATTGCCTAACACACCTGATGGACACAAACACACACAGTAGCCTTCCTAACACCAAAGAGATTGTCGACTGTCCTGTACTCTGACAATGATGCAAGCCAGTAAATTGCAACTGCTACCTTCTTTTGGACACCCAATGGTTCTTCAACGGTGTCTTGGGAAGGAGAGAGTTCATCTTCAAGTCTTCTGCAAATGAAATCCAATGTTTCCTTCCTCATTCTGAAGTTTTCTAGCCAGTCTGTCTCTTCACAGTGCTGCAGAACAACCTTGTCATACCACTCCTTCGACCCGGGTTTTCTTCTTATTTCTCTAACATTTGAACAACCCAGAGCTAGAGCTACACTCAGGAAATAGGGAAATTTTCTGCGCTTGCAGAAATATTCCAGTCTGATCTTTTCCATGGTTATGACAGAAATGGGTGGTTTTGACAATTTACTTCACATTAACTTATGGGACTTATACTTCGTATGAATGCACTTTTGCTCACGTGCGTAAATTTGCACATGTGTGCAAATTTGCATATATGCAATTTTTCGCCGTATAAACAGAGCATAAGATGAATTCCAGGCTTTTATTCAATATCTATTAACCAATCTGATTGAAACTGTTTTATTAACAAAAATGTGTTTTTACCTGTCGATCAGAGCTATGATGATATTCTTGACGTTAACACTGTTATGTAGGTCAGCACATGCTCTCAAGAAGTGATTCAGAGTTTGTAGGTGGAACTCATCAGGGAACACCTGCAAGTAGTACGGACATGCATGTTGGACAAATCGATAGTTGACAAATCATCCTCGTGTTGTTGTTGGTATCAAGGCAATTGGTTAACCTGCATCATGGATTAGCTCATCAAGCAGCCCACTTCCCTAGTCCTGCATCATCTGTCACATCCTTACTTTCACATATAAGGTTGTTGCTCCATGATTGAGTATCTGTGTGGTTTTATCATAGGACGTCCAGAGGACAGAAATGACAGCTAATAAAAAGAACTCAAAATATCTCAGAATAGTTATTCATAACAGTAAATATCTGTGTTTAACGCAGTGTTTAATACCAACAGCTCCTCCCACTATATCTGATTTTTCGTTTTTTTAATAGAAAAGGGAAGACAGTCGACATTCTGATAAAGATCTACAATTGTATCATCCTCTGTCAAAACTATTACAAAATCACCACGAGGGTGTAAACTGTCATCACATGCAGACCGCCATTTTGTTCTGTGGCCCTTGGAAACCCATCCACCATATATTTGGCTTCCTTTTATGAGCCTCAAGAGTGAACTGAGTGATTTGATTGGTCATCATTTTTGTTTTTTCTGACGGGATTTAATGATGATGCAAATTAATGTCAAAGCGAGATTTGATTGACTAAGGTGCATATACCGAAGATTGGTGATCTGTAGTGGACATAAACAGGATGTCCATTTTAGATCTTGTAAACATGGTATCAATTTGAAGCAGGTGATATTTATTAGCCTGTTTTGGGAGTATTTTACCAACTGCACTCACTTCATACTGCTTATAACTTAGGCTGCACAAGACAATTCTAACCTGCACCATTGCAGTCTTGAAAATGGGAAATCACAACCAGAGTTAGGATGACCAAAGACGTATATAGGTGTATGTACGTCTTTGGGATGACATATTTTCCATAACAAGTTTTTGTAGTTTTTAATGTGGGAGCCATCTTGCCATGTCTTCAATTAGGCCAGTAGAAGTAGCTTTTTTCTCCAAACCACTGATAACACAGTTTGACTGAAATGAAATGTTTTTCAGCTTCAACGTTGTTTCAAAACATGGCCTATGGTAACCTTTAACCTTTTTACCTTATACAGAGGTTACTCTTATCAGATCCATATCCCCCTTAGAGTGGATGACCGCTAGCCTAAAATGTGTCATGAAAATATTGTGTGTAGCCCTACCTTGGAACACTAAAAAAAACAAATCAGCAAACAATATCACCAAGACTGTAATATGATGATTATAGTATGGAGTCACAGAAGCTCGATTGAAAATGCTGTTTGCTTTTTCTTTACAAAGTTAACTTTTCCTGTTGACATGTGATCTGATTTCTGTGAAAATCAAAAGGATGTAATTCTAAATATGACTTATTCAAATGATATTCAATGACTGTACAGGTTGTCAGTATTTTGTTATTTTTTATTGTTACATGACGGTTGTCAGATTGGGGCAAACACACCAAGCAGCCACCATTCACATTGCTGATTTATGCTTCAGTTGTCCCTTAGAACAAAGTAATTTACTATTCAGCCAAAGAAAAACAGGTTTGATATGATCCTGTTGATTTACCTGAATGATGCACTCCATTAGGTACTCCTGAGCAATAGGATCACGGCAGTTGACTATTTGCTCAAGAACTCCAGGCAACACATGCTAAAATGACAACAATGCACTAATACATAAAGTGTCCAGACTAAACATACATAAGGTTCTGTAGCTCACCTGAGTTATGCAGAAATAATGGCAGGCTTGTTTAAAGTCAGATTCAAATTCTGTGAGCAATATTTAGAGACATCAAAGCTGGGATCTTTCATGCAAAGTGTCAGTTTGCAGATACAGAGATTTAAATACTAATTGACTGGATTATATAACACCAACCTTATTAATATATCGAATATATCGAATATTATATATTTAATATATATCTGCATTAAATATTGCAGTCCCTTCTATTTCATGCCATGAACATCAAATTTATAGATCTAGATCAAGATTTGAGGATAACACATGTGGAATATCTTTTGAAGATGGCATTGATAAGCTTCATTTGTTGAAATTATTGTCTGGAGATGTGTCAAAATACCAGTTGACCACTGATCTTGAGAACAATGAAATATATTATATAACATGTGATAGGAGAATGAATTATTTGTGTTGGTATCCTTACATTGCATATGTATCTGTACCAACCTTTTTATATTTATCAACATGAATACACTCCAGCTGACTGAGACGAACCAGATTTGTTCCCACCAGGATCCGCAACTCCCTCCTTTCCTGCTCCCTACGCTCACGGTCGCGAGAATGGCCCTGGTGTTGCATTCGTACCCATAGTTTGTTCATCTCAGCAAAGTTGAGCAAGATGAAGTCAATAGAATCATCAACAGTTCCACTTTCATGTTCTCCAGAACTGCAAAATATGAAATAGAATCAAGTAGTTCTCTAAACATTGTGTCACAAAGCTCTGTAACTTATCTAATCTTTTCTTTTACAGCTCGGACAATTCCTGGGTTAAAACCAATTAGTGGCAGAGCCCCATGCAACCGGTTGTGCGAGCACAACATCTTGCCACCACGTTCAGCAATAAGCCCAATTTTGCTTCAACATCCATTGGGAATGCCAAACTTGGTGTAGACAGTATCTGAGTTTCAGAAGACAAGGCTGGGACAGTACACTGTTCACAGATGAGTTTGGCTTCATCAGGACAGCGCTGAAGGTATTGCAAGGGTCAAAACAACGTATATGTGATGCTTGGGTCAATCTTCAGTTGACAATTGGAACATTTCACAGGCTGTTTTCAAATGCACCAGCACAGCCTTGCCTGTGTCAATGCAAATGGTGGTCACACCCAATATTGACATTGTTAATTGAGTTGTTACATCACCCCACTATTGGGGCATGTAGCTCTGTCTTCTGTTGGCTTTTGCCAATGAATTTGTTATGACAAAACATTGATCAAATGAAAGACCAAATATTATTTTCAACAACATCGAACAATACTACCTCTATTACATTTCTGCCATAAATCCTGTATTTTGGCTTCAATCACACTAACTAAAATTTTCAGATTTTCAACTGACGTCCTCTTCGCTGTCAATTACACACACAACTAGTTGTCGCCAAGTAGTCTCGTAACTACCCAAGCCATGACATCATAACAGTGCCAACATCACTTTTTTCCCTCATCTACGACTAGAGGTAGATGAATTGGGGAGGTGGGAGGGAGTACTTCGGATGTAATAGAGGTAGTATTCTTAGAATTTTTAACAATGATAATCATTGTCTGATAATTCTTACGAAACTTCTACGTCTATTACATCTCTGCCAGAATATACCAGAGGGACCCGGTGGGATCTGTCTCTAGTAACTCCCTGTGTAATTGACAGTAAACCATCATTTACTGATTCTAATCCTACTTGAGATAATTTCCTCTGAAATTCCCCCTGAGAACTTGAAATCAGAAATGTGTCAAGAATCAGTCAAATATGTGATATTTTCACTAGAATTACCCTTATATTTGCTGATCTTGATTGTAATAATGATGTCATTTCTCATTTGTTTTTGCTTAATGACGTCATTTCTTGTTAAATTTGGATTTGTGACTCTCATACCGGTGATAACACACTTCCAGTGATGACATCACTTCTGGTTGTGATGTCACTTCCGGGTATGATGTCACTTCCCCTTTTCTAGAAAATGATGTCTCTCTAGGTCTATTACTACCCAAAGACATCATTTCCTGATAAGATGGACCCTGTTCTGCTATTTTTGTTGCTGACGTCACTTCCGGTTATGTTCTCCCTTCCGGTGATGATGTTACTTCCAGTCTAATGGAGACAGTCCATTGTCTGGTCCAGATTTGATTATTTACAGACCGCCGTCATATAGCTGGAATATTACTGAGTGTGGCGTTAAACAACAAACAAACAATAAAATCAAATAAAAAGTTGATATTCAGGGTGCTTCTAATCCATCCTACACCTAATAGACAGAATAATCAAGGGTGTACTCACCCTCTGATGCTGCTGGTGTCGGATCCTCACCCCACCCCACCCCCTTGACAGAAGGGGTAAAACTACTGCATGTCACGCAAGTAAAAGCTGGTGAAGGTGTTTCATGAGGCCCACTAACAGCTAGAAACCTCTTGTTCTACTGAGACTCATGTCCATGAAGCAAGAGTCTTGGCTAGGTCTCTGATTTCGTGAGCTGAGCAGGATCCAAGACGTGGCGTAGATTTCTGAGCCTGTGTATAACTTGATACATCTGTAGCTTTTATCTATCCTGCTATTGTAGCCTTGGTGATGTCCTTGTTGTATAGTGAATATAGGAATTGTATAGTGTCTATGGCCCAATGGTCCCATAGTGGTAGAATGATTCTTGGCTACGAAGTCTGGGAACGATCTTAGAATTATTGAGGCCCAATGTTGATCATGGGTGAGACTAGAATAGTCAAAGGCATGTAAATCTGAAACTCTTGCTGCTGTTGCCATGGCTAGTAGACGCTTTTCCGGCTTTTTCGGGTAGGGTAGCTTTAGCCATGGGCTCGTTAAGGTTCTGTTAACAATGCTGATAGTACCACAGATAGTTTGCACTTGGGGAACATACAAGGTGTGCAAACATCTTCTAGTAGTGGTTTCCGGTTGATAATCTGTCATGTTGAAGAACAGAGGGAAGGGCTGATCTATAACCTTCTATCGTCCCATGTCAGAATGTGTTGTCTTGACATAGATGTAGCAGAAAATCCGCTACCATAGGGATGGATGTAGCATTAGTTATGATCCCTTGTCGACTTCACCACTGGACAAACTTATCCCATCTGTTGTCAAGTCTCGTTAATCCGACATCGTTGGTTGCACATGATTGTGTTGGATTAACGAGTATGTCGGATTAACTAAAATTAAGTGATTTGTGATCGAAAATCGGACATCTTCACGATAGATAATAACCGTGTGTTTCCTCGTGTAAATGCAAGTGCTACTGTCTTAACAACTTGCTTCATCTACTTAAAATAGTCTGTCAGTGTTTTCTGTTTCTCACATTTTGAAGGCACATTTCTCAAAGTCCCCTGTTCGCTTGACGTCTAGGGCTGGTGGTTCTTCAGCATCAACATTGTCGAGGTGTAATTTCATTTGTTTCTTATAATAAAGCTTGAAATTCTTTATGATCCCAGCATCTAGTGTTAATTGTTCAAGTTAATCTCTGCAGCCGGTGCGTGTCAAAACACGGGGTTGTGTACTCGCGGGCAGATGACCACGGAGTACGCTGACCACTGTGTCGGATTAACGAGACTGATTAATGAGTGATTTCAGTAATTCGTTGCAAATTAGGTGTGTCGGAGTCGGAGTGCGAGAATGTCGGATTAACGGGACTAAATAGCGCTGAATCAATCGGTTCCCATCATTTGTGTCGGATAAAGCCGAGTGTCGGATTAACGAGTGTCGGATTAACGAGACTTGACTGTATAAGGGAGGATGAAGGTCTCCACGATCTTGCTACAGCTTCTGAGGCAAGCCCAGAGCATCTTCTGCATGATAACTTCCAAGAGGTTAGTTAGATGTAGGCTGGGTAGATTGTCGTGGAAAATGTTGGACTTGGGTTGTCATAGCAGATCTCGACGATGAGGTAACTGGACAGGTTCCTCCATTAGTAGGCTTAGTAGTCTGGGGAAGCATGCCCTGTTGGGACATATTGGACCTATCAGTATTATTATGTAATCCGTCTCCTCCACCTTGTGGATGACTTTGTCTAGGAGAGACCATGGTGGGAATGCGTTAGCAAACAGATTCGTTCAATCCATCAATAGTGTGTCGATCTGGTGAGCTCTTGGGTCGGGAACTGGACTGACATAAACAGGAAGTTGGTTGTTGTAGCAAGTGGCAAAATAGATCCAGGTGTGGTGTGTCCCATAACTTGGTTATCCGTGGAAGTAAAGTCCATTCCGTTGCCAGGCGATAAAGGCTGTCGACCAGTATGTTCAGTTTCCTGGGTATATGTCTTGCTTCCATCTGGCAATTGAAGGAGTCTGCCAAGGCAAACAATGGTGTAGTCTCCGTCATCAGAGAGCTGGATCTGGTTCCTCCCTGCTTCTGAATATAGGCCACTACTGTGGTGTTGTCTGTGGCTATGAGAACGGATGATTGCTAAAGATGTATCTTCCATTCCAGGATGGTGTAATAGATGGCCTTCATTTCCCTGCAGTGGATATAAAGGTTCTTCTCTTCCAAGTTCAACGATCCCTGTACTGTGAGGTTGTCCATATTGGCTCCCCATCCCGAATCTGACGCGTCTGTGAATAGATGGTGTTTGGGCTTCGGACAAGTCAGTGGGATGCCGCTCATCACATGCTCTCTGTGATTCCACCAATGGAGGTCTCGTAGTAATCTGGGTGGTAACTGAGTCTGGAACGCTTGGCTGTGAGATTGTATAGAGTTGATCCATGTCTGTAGAGGACGTAGCATCAGCCTTCCTCTTAAGGTCATATCCTGAAGTTTCCTAGAAGAGACATCCACCACCTCATCGACTTGCTGGGTTGACTTGAGAGTGATTGAATCATCTTGATAGTCTTGTTGAATCGATCCTCTGGTGGGCATAGGTATCCCCCTGTCTAGCTGGAATCTGGATGTATATGATGTCTTATGAACCGGAGTAGTCTCGGACTTGGAAGGATCGACTAGGAAGCCTAGGTAGGTCATAAGTTGGACCAAGAATATCATGTTCTGATGCAGTTGAGCTTTCTCTTGGTCTACAGCTTGGAAATCCTCCAGGTAACCATGGATTCAAACTGGCTGGATGTGAACAAACTTGATGACTGGCGCTGTAATCCTATTGAATAACAAAGGACTTGAACTTCATAGCGTTGGCAATTGATCGCTAAGCATAGATATTTCTGTGAGGATGGGTGTAACCGGACGAAAGTGAGTGAGTAAGTGAGTGAGTATGGTTTTATGCCGCTTTTAGCAATATTCCAACAATATCACGGCAGGGGACACCAGAAATGGGCTTCACACATTGTACCCATGTCGGGAATCGAACCCGGGTCTTGGGCGTGACGAGCGAACGCTTTAACCACTAGGCTATCCGACCGCCCCAACCGGATGAGAAGATAAGCATCTTGTAAATCTAGGCTGATAGGCCAGTCTCCTGTCTTCAGCGGTGACCGTAACTTCCGTAGGGAATTCACGTGGAACTTTAGCAGAGGTACCAGTGTCTTTTGTTTAGAGTCTTTAGGTCGATGATCATCCTCATTTCAGTTGTATTCTTCTTCAGGACTAAGAAGACCGGAGAAAATATCCCTTGGTGTTGTTGGTCTCCATTAGTCTCCGAATGGCTTGCTTCTTGAGTAGCTTCCTGACGGCCAAATCTGCTGCTGCAAGCTTGGCTATGACTAGATGAAATCTGCATCTGACGGCGTGTGTCTTCAGGATAGGATGTTTCCTGATGTGTAGCTTGTACCCGTGAGCCACGACGTCTAGAATACAGTGATCGGGTGTAACTTGCTTCCAATTTTCAGTGTATGACAGAAGGCACCCTCCCGCTGGTCCCAGAGTCAGCACTATGTTGAAAGACGGTAGGCGTAAATCGCAGTCCATAGACATAACCAAGTCGAAAGGGTCTATAATTTGGAGGGGTTGGTATTTGAAGTCAGAACCTGTGTTCGCCTCTGCCTCCAGATCTTCAACGGCGATTATATCCTTGTTTCTTGTAGTCTGGCTGAAGAAAAAGATTCCTAAGAAGATTGTCCCTTGTCGTATCCCCGACTCGGTACGGAATGAATCCTTCCCGGAGGGGACAAACTTCTTCTTAGGAAGCTGTTTGGATGATGAAGATTTGTAGTCCCAGGGACGCTTCTATGGATGGGATGATCCGTGGACTTTAGCAGCTAAGTTGATAGTTGAAGTTTGGAATTGATCTGCAGTGTCTTGTCTCACTTCATCTGTCATGTGTCCCAATTTTCCATTGAATGTTGTGGTAGCTGATATAGGTTGTGTCATTATCAACCTCTTGGTCTGGTTAGAAACAGCTCTGGATCGGATCTGTAGCCATAGGAGTTGTGGAGACATCCAGACTTGGGAGGAGTCTTCTTGCATCCTGACAATAGTATCTAGAAGGCTATGGATGAGTCCGACTTGATCAGTACTAATAGTCATTGGCGTGTCTCCAGTTATTCCTTCATAGGATGGCTATAATGGTGGAATGATGTGTCTGATTCTGGCAACAAACCAATTAATGTAAGCGCCAACATCCATATAGTATCTGGAAACCGATGTCAGATCCTTAATCTGCATAGTAGTTGTAGTAGATGCTAGTGTTGGGGTTGCATACCAACTTGTGGAAATCTTCTTCCATACTTGGGAATTCCGGAAGTGGAGCCTCATGCTTCCTGTATAACTTCTGCTTTATTGGAGGTAAAGGTAGTCGTTCATCGTGCTTGAGCTTGAGTAGACTGTCAGACATCTGGTCAATTACCTTGCCAGTGTAACTGGGCCAAGGTAATGTCTGATGGATGTGTTGAGACGATGTAGGAGCATGACATCCCCGATATTCCGGCATCTGGGTTGGCGAAGTCTGTGTCACTGGAGGTTTGAGTACAGGCATAAGATGGTAGAGTTCTTCTATCAACTCTAAAAGGTGTAACCTTTGGTGTAGTCTCACTGGGGTGAATCATCAGCCTGATCTTCGCCCCGGCTCCTGCCTCCGAGTGACCTTCGGTAGCTCCCATTGGGGTAGGGTAATTGTTGTACTCCTCGTCTACCCCGTGGGGTTCGTCGTCCTCCGGTGTCCATGAGTTTGGTATTATTAGCCCCTGTGCGGCTTGCGATGGTCTGTGAGTAGCGGTAGCCATATGGTGGCTGTCCTCTCGGTCGGCTGACCGGTCGGTAGAACGGTTGACTGGATACTGTGTAGTCCATGCAGCTGGCTTGAGAGCTGCCAGTTGATGAAGATCCTACGGTAAGCCGAGTGGCTGGACAGTCGGCATGGAGTCCTAACGGTCGGCTGGCTGGATAATTGGTCGGTCAGCTAGGTAGCTGTGGGCGGCTGGCCCATGGAGTCAGTGTGACGACCATACGGTGTCTTAATGGCTGGCTGGCTTGGCGGCTTGTCGGTCGGCTGTGTTACCATGAAAGGCAGGCCCATGAAGTCTGTGTTACCATCGTACAGTGTCCTAATTTGCCATGGATGGCTTGGTTGCCGTGGACAGCTGGGTTGCCATGGACAGCTGGTCCTGGGATTCCGTGAGGCTTTTGTACGGTATTGTCTCACGGTAAATCAAAGTCTGCTGGCTTATGGGCGACTGGTCGGCTGGGTGGTTGGCTGGCTGGCCGGCCATACGGCGCAGCTTGTTAGTCATCTGAAGAAGGTCCTATGGCTGTGAATGAAGATTGCCCTACAGCTGTGAATGAAGAATTGACAGATGGCATCCCCCTCATGACCGGGGAATTCTTCTTTGCCAGAGCTATCTCCTTGATCTTATGCATCTCTTCATCCAGCACTGAGAGCTTCGTCTCCTCAAAAGGACTCTTTCATGTTTGAAGAACCAATCAATTCAATGTGGAATCATTTTTAATTACTTAAAGAAGTTCCTTTGATCTTTGTAAGATAAAAATAGATCCAAATTAAAATGCAGAAATTAGGTTAAAGAAGTCAAATTCATTTCAGTCAATGTCCAAAATCCAGTCTCATGTTTCAGGCAATATATACATTGCCTGAATGAATAGGTCAATATACATATTGCCTGATTATCGACATTATCATGCCTCTATGTCAGGAAGAGATCTGATTTATCTTTATAAAATACTGTGTAACCTGCCTTGGAGGGTAATAAATTTCTCAGCTAGCAAATAAATCTCTTATACCCTGCCAGGAGCAATACAGGCTGCACATGGATTTCTGGGAGGCAGAATAAATCCCTTATACGCCACTTCAAAGCAAAAAGCTGCACTCTTTGTCCAAGTCAATTGAAGTGACATGATATAGCACAAGTTATCCTCAGCTCAATCAAACGGCTGTTTTCTATCAGTTTTGAATTTGTGTTAATTCTTTGACAATGTCACATTAAAACATGTTCATGTGAGATAAATTTGTTGTCTGGATCGTGGTATAAGAGAGAGAGAGGCACACCAGAAATGGGACTTCATAACACTACATATAGACACTATAACCACAAGGTTGCCCTACCGCAACTTATCAGGGATGATGTAAGGTGAGGTGAAATGGGGTTTAAGGTAGTGTTTAAGATTATTGTACTTATATAGAAACAGGTATGCACATGGGTGAGCGGCTGTTTGTACTAGTCGTCACTTTTGCCAGGTGTTTTTTTTTCCCCCTTAATCCCAAGTGCTAGGCTAGGTCAAGGGATCGAGCCATCGTCCTTCCACTCCATCCGTCCTTTCACAGAGGCCACTGTGTTGTCGAGAAAACCAATTGCAGCAGCCCTTTTTCCTGGGTCTGTTTATAACTACCAGTACCATGTTACAACACTGCAGTCAGTGCGCTGTTTGTGTTCATATATGGACTATCTGTCACAGCTAAGCCTACAAGGCCAAACAAACATTTAACACACTGGATTTCTGACTAGTCACAGACTGACACTACAGGAGTCAGTGCCCTGGACCCCGTTCCACAAAGCAATTGTACTGTTAAGGTGATTGTAACTCCCAGGACTAAACACAGACTTACGATTGTCATTGCACTACGATCGCATTGTGGAATGGGGCCCTGCACAGTACTAATGTCTAGTCAAAAATACCTTGCATCCTCCTCGGTGTCAGGCAAGACATTTTTGGTACACTGCAGTAGATAGTTGCGCAGAAAAAGTCCTCTCAAGGGATGCTGCACACCACGACACATTTCTACTAGATCCTTTAAAATGTCTCGTCTGGATAATTCATTTGCTTTAATATACACCACTCCAACAGTTATCAGCAGATACCTGAAAATTGAAAGAAAATTGTTCAACTGTATTCTAACATCTGTAGCATAAAAATGAAATAATGTGTTTTCTGTATTATGAGATAGCCATATTATGATATTGCCATAGTCAGCAATTGATCAATGATCATATCGTCTGAAGCCTAATTACTTAAATCATGTGACCTCTAAACCACCTTCATACTGACTAATTGGTTGATGATAGAACTTCTTCAGTGTTGATGCTAAACTTAGACACAAATTGGGTTACGCCCAAATCCCTGAATTTTTGTTAAAGTTATACCTTCCAGCACAATCTCAGGCCTTTGATCACTTATAAATTGAGAAATTTCAAAGAGTATCAGACTATACATATATATGAGATATCTACATCTCACGTTCACAGGTCTGTTATGACCTGTACATGTTTACAAGATGACACTTTAAGAAAAACAAGCATCAAATATGATATGCGTTGAATGAAACTTCAAGCCCCTGATCACAACCGCCACCTGGGACTTGTTCTAAACTAAAGAGTTACTGCTTAACATAGGATCCAAAACTGATCAAACTGACAAATTCTCAACTCATGTAACAACAGCCATGCCCATTGACAAAGCCTTCTCAATAATGCTATGATGCTGTCACTTGGTTCTACCTCTTCTCAATCTTTGGTCATCTTAAATGTGAAGCAGCGTACAGTGGGGTGTGTGTGTGACTGGAGCCAAGAATGAGAAGAGGTAGAAACCTGGACTGGTGGTGGTGCACAGCCTCTGTGAGGAGAAGGTTAAGCTGTTGTTGGGTGAGTTGCAATAACTTATTGGTATTGGAAGTAAGCTCTTTGTAGGGTGTGTTAACTGTGATAAGATCACTAAAGATGATATATTTACATAGAGTTGTAAAAGTTTACAGTTGACCACTTGACTGATGGGTGGAAATACAAATCACTAGTTATGAACAGGAAATGAACCTTTCACTGATCTGAACTGAAAACTAATCTATTGTCATGGAAACAGGATTTTCTTTTCTCCAAAATTCTTAAAAAGAAAAAGGCACTAGTTCATTGCTAGACTGATATCTGAGCAAACAGGGATAAATAAATATTAAATGCTTTTCGAGTTAATAATAAACCTAAGCCAAATTTTAACCTACCAGTAATTTCACGTCCAACATGTTGTTATGCAAAGGGGCAAAATAAAATTTCCTGAAATCCCTAAATAGGTTTGCAACATTTTGTAATAAAATATTGAATGGTTTCCGAGTTCTGACACACATGATGAAACACATGATGGACAGATGGACGTGGAGCACATTCTTAACAACTGGGTTACAGATCCTCCACCATTCAATAAAACAAAGTGGAGCTCATTGTGAAACAATTTGTGTACAAAATGATTATCTGCAACAAAGAAGATGGACTGGCTTAACAAACATGACATTATATTCAGATTACCTTTCAAAGAACAAAATACAATTCTTACATTTACAAAAATCAATCATAAACAAGTAGTCTGGCCTAAATTGAACATAGAACTTTGGTTTAGATCCTTCATAGCAGACCCTCTCATAGCAGCTTAAGCATACATCGTGTGTTACTGTATGCATGTAAATAGTATGTTGTTAGATTTTAAAGTATCAGTATATTGAACTAAGATGAATAAATGAATAATCTTCACTGAAATATTTATATTTATTTCCTTAAAAGCTTGTGTTAACTTCAGCACTTGCACAATCTTCTAATACACACGTAAGCTAGCTTCTGTAAATAGTTTGGGTAGTTCAGCCACTCCTTGTTGGTGTCACGGCTATTGTCGACCAGAGGCTTTGCCTGTGGGTACCGGTAGGTTGTTATTGTTCTCTGCAGGATCTCTTCAACCATGAAAATATCCTGGTCACAACTTAAGCTGGCCAGTCAGCATATGGCTCTGCACATGTTCTGAGAGCATCTTTTCTTCACTGTGTCATTAGTACTTTATTGATCTAGAAACTTAGGTTAGAGTACTATGCATTTTACTATGTATTTGTTGTATATAGTACCTTAGCTGGCATGGAATTATGATATGGTAATGTATTCTTAATTCAACTTACTTATATACTTGGCTTAGATATGTCATGTATATATTCTGTAATATTGTTATAAATGAATACAAGTTGTATATGTATCATGTATTTAATATAGTATATTGTAGTTATAGTGTATTTATTTATGGCATATTTTATTGTGCAGGGCTATTCTTTGTACTTATGTATAGAGAGGTTTGAACCTGCGTCCCTGAGATGAGGCATGATAATGTGTATATCTAGAGGGACTTGTTGAAGTATGTCTGCCAAAAGGAAAGAACTGTAATGTAAATGTTTTATTAGTATTGTTATTATCTGGTGCCATCATAATTTCCATACGGATCATGTTTATTATTACATTACGTATCTTACAGGGCCGATCCGAACAACCTTGTAGGGGTCTTCACATCGCATTTTCACATCCCATTCACCACTTCATTCAAATAAATCCCCTTTAAACGCTAAACTCTTAAACCTTTAGTTGTATACTGCATTACTTTTATGTTAATTATTCCTTGTTTGTCCATGTAGGTCTTGTAAGTTTTACGTCTAGTTTTGAAGGGTAAAGCTATACAGGTTAGTGTTAAATTCTTATTTGAAATATCGCTTTGGGGACATCGCTTCATGTTTCCTTGACATGATCCTCATGCATAGCAGGAGTAAGCCAACTGAAGATTAACTACAGTGTGTTAACTACTAATAATGTACTACATAAAACTCTTGTGTAAGAGCCTTGGGCAGCAATATATAATTTCTTGCACAACTGATTATGGACAGTGAAGAGGGACTTCTGTCTGTTGAAAATCTAAAGATATTATAGTGTGACAGCCAGTGAGCCAAAATACAGGATTTATGGCAATGAGGTAATAGAGGTAGGGTATTTGGCAGGAATTATTCATTTTAGTTGCCTCATTTCTGTTTTGAGCATATGAAACTGAACATAATGCGGCAAAGATAAGACCCATTTGCTGTACAGTCAAGAGGAGAAAACTTTACATCTGGAAAAAGAATCCAATAACCAGTGGAAAAATATTGTTTCCTGTTTACATCCTTGAAGCTGTCAAACAGGTTTATTGACATGACAGATAAATGGAAATATCAAGCTATGAAATACAGAAAGGAATCCAGATACATCTCAGTCATCTTATTATCCACAAAAAACAATCCAATCACCATGTCCCTGAGGGGTTACATTTCTATCCAACCATAATGATTAGGGGTATTTCAACAAGCGTATAGTTGACAAAGTCATCTATATCCCCCCGCCCATTTTAACACGTTATGGTCCCAAACCAGGTAACTGACCCAACATTTCTCTTAGCCCATGTCAAAATAGCTGCAATAGAAATTCTAAAATAAACATTTCTAAAACTCCTTAATATCAAATGGCACTTGTTCAGTATGCACTTTATATATAGACATGCAATGTTTGGCAAGGAAATATTTAACAGTTTATTTTATATACTACTTAAGTAAACCAATCCTATATTAAAACTTAAATCCAACTTAATGTCATGGAAACATAAACAATAAAAAATTCTAAAAGTGCTATATAGCAAAAGGCACCAGTTCAGTATGTGTCTGGTAAACATGCAAAGTTTTGTAAGAAATCATTTAACGGTTTTTGAGTTACGCTCCGGAAACAAACAGCACCCTTATAGAACCTAAGTCCAACTTGTTGCAAAGGAAACGTAAAAAATAAAAATATATAAAATTCCTAAATAGCAAAGGCACCAGTTCCGCAAGCACGCACGCACGCACGCACGCACGGAACCCATTTCTATATCATTGGGGCGGGGGATAACAAATGACATCCAATGAAGAGGACTTCAACCACAGTCCCAGGTCTCTAAATAAGTTATAAGTAATTCCTGTTGAATCATATCATGTCCAAAACATTCTGCAAAATACTATTACATGTTAACAAATCATAAAGTGGGGAGTTATTTATAGTTTAGCATTGCTGATGAAAAACTGCTTTAATTTCTCATAAATCAAAACCAATTTTCCTGATATTTGTGTGATGTTTCTGGTTACTTTGTTATCAAAATTAGAACCAACTTTTGAGATCAGGCATAGTGAGCTTGGGGCATATTGAGCTTGGGACATATTGAGCTTGGGGCAAATTTGAGTCCGAACAAGTGAAATTGTGATAAGCCTTTTGGAAGCTGTTGTGATAATCTGTGAGTCTGTCCTATGCCTAATTATATATAGGAAGCACACGAAGTAGGAAGCCCCTAACATGTTTGAGGAAATTATGTGGCAATGTCTGCTAACTATAAGCACTCAAAGCAATGTGAAAGGCTGTGTTACTCACAATCGGGGAACAATGTTCCCTGCATACTGAACCAGCTCATACAAGTCGGCAACCTTGCGTCCTCGCTGAAACTCCTCCACCAGATACCCCTCCAGATGACGGAGTTCATCAGAAATGGCCATGTCTGGCAAGTGTTAAAGTCATAAAGACACAACTGACACAATCATGAAAACTCATATCTGCCGCTAGTGTATGTTCTTTTGAGTGTAACGTCAAAAGTTCCTAAACTCTTATGATACAAAAGTTTGTAGCTAGACTGGTACCTCTGCAAATATTTGGTCAAGACATTGAATGGACTTATAGTTATATTCTAGAAACAAATCTAGTTTCATTTGAACCTACCCGTCTGCCGGACGTTCCTGCCACAAGGAACGCCGTCCTCCAGCTCAACAGCTGAAGAGAGAGAGACGACAGATCCCGAAAGGAAGGACCAGACAGCCAATCAAGAACGATTGACAAGTCCCAAGGGGGGCTGATCCGCCCCACACCTGCTAAAAAGCGCTGCACTAATGGGTGCGCACCCAGAAGTGCCCCGTCCACAGGGACGTGAAAAGCTGCGATAGCTGTAGAGTACCCCCGGACTGTTGATGCGGCTAGGCCGTCATCTAGTCGCAACTGGAGGAACTCAAGCACGGCTACGAGATCTGCAGAAAAGGGATCTGCAATCCCTCTATCGACACACCAGTGCGCATAGCAGGCCAATCAATCCTCAATCCTCGTACTGAACGTTTGTCGAATCCCTCCGCGAAGCCAGTATTGTGTCTGCAACTCATGCAGGAATACCGCTCTTCTGGAGGCGATTCCTGACAGTGGCCAAGCCACCCACTGAATCCTGGGATTCGGGTGGAGGGCCCCGTTCTGGGATAGGAGGTCCGGTCATAAAGGTAATAGAACAGGAGGCTGAGCCAGAAACCGGAGTACTACTGGAAACCAGCTCTGCGCCGACCAAAGAGGTGCCAGGAGCACAAGTAGTCGCGCAGGCTGAGTGGCTAGCTGAGATAGGACCTTGGAGATCAGAGGTACTGGGGGGAATGCCCACAGGATTCTGTCCGTCAAATCTAGCTGGAAGGCGTTCGGTGCCACCGACCTCGGGTCGGGGACTCGGGAGCAGAACGTTGGTGTCTGGTGATTTACTCCAGACGCAAACAGATCCACCTGGAACGACCCATATAACTGGGAGATAATCCCGAATATCCCTGGGTCGAGCCTCCACTCGTGAGGAGTGAGGATCCGGCGAGACAGAGCGTCCGCACGGACGTTGTCCACCCCCGGGAGATAAACAGGTTTCACCCTGATATCGTGTGAGTCGCACCATAGGAGGAACTGCCACGCCTCATGGAGAAGCGACGGTGACACCGTTTCCCCTTGTTTCCGGATGTAAGTCATCGTCGTTTGGTTGTCCAGGCAGATCCAGGAAGCGTTAGAACACCAACCTGACCGCTCTCAGTTCTAGCATATTGATATGCAGTTTGATCTCCTGCTGGGACCATAGTCCCGAGGCAGTGTGATTGTTCAGAACGCCTCCCCAGCCGGAGAGTGACGCGTCTGTTTTAACTGTGAGAGACGGAACGGGAGTGTCGAGGGGGAGCCCCCGGGACAGATTTCGGACCTCGGTCCACCACTGAAGGTGTGTAATGAGCCACTGCGGAGTCTCGAGAACAGTCTCGAGATCTTCGGAGTGCACCCAAAGTCGATGGAGCGCTTGTTGAATGGGTCTCATTCTCAAGCGCGCCCGCCAAACCACATCCACTGTCGCCGCCATGTTGCCCAGTAACTGGGGCCATGTACGAGCAGTGTGTCTCGTGGACAGAAGAAACTGGGAAGTAACACTTCTGACCTTGACTATTGAGATTGACTATCCACCCTAGAGTGATCAGAATGTCTATCACTTCTTGTGTAGCTATCTGACTGAGGGATTGCGATAGAGCTCTGAGTAACCAGTCGTCGAGAAACGGGTGGCAGAACCAACCTTTCGACCTGGCCACTTGGGCAGGAATCAACATCAGCTTGGTGAACACCCTCGGGGCCGTGGCGATCCCGAATGGTAGAACCCTGAAATGATAACACCTCCTGTCGAAAGAAAACCTGAGGTATTTCTTGAACTCGGGGTGTATGGGTACGTGGAGATAGGCGTCTTTTAGGTCTATTGACGTTAGCCATTCTCCTGTCTCGACAGCTGAGATCACTGAGCGCAGTGTCTCCATCCTGAAGGACGGTACCTCTATAAGTTTGCTCAGCCTTCTCAGATTGAGAATAGGTCTGAACCCTCTGTCTTTTTTGGTGACTAGGAAATATGTCAAGTAGAAGCCCTCGCTTTCCTGTCCCATGGGAACCAGTTTCGATCGCCGCCTTCATAAGAAGTGCGTCGACCTCGGCACGGAGGAATTCCGCCTTCTCTCGGGTAGCAGGCACAGGAGTGTGCTTTATCCCGGAGAAGGGGGACGGATGATGTTTCCACCGAGGCAAGTGGCCATCCCTTAGAGTGTACAGGGTCCAGGGATTGGATGTAACTGTCTCCCATTCCTTCAGGAATAGAGACAGTCGGCCGCCTACGGGGACATCCGGCTTGAGGCAGTGGACCCCTGCTGTCGGCAGTTCGATAACTTGCGACTGTGGGTCCACCCGGGGCTCTTCGGGCGCTAATGTGAACCCGAAGCGGCTGCTTCGAGGCAGGTGTGGACTTCTGAGCCTGAGCGTCAGCATGGGAGGAGTCAAACGGAGAGGCCCGCTTACGCGGTTTAACGCTAGGTATCTCCAACAAGGCCTTAGAGTCCTTGATGGAGGCATACATTTGAGCGGCCTCTCTGACCACCTGCTGAGCCCCAGGGAGGGTAGCACCCATCTTATATGGCAAAGCTAGGAGGTCTTGGCGTGTGGAAGTCGAGTACTTAGATACTGTCATCCACAACCTGCGCATGCCCATAACAGTGCACATCATCTGCGAGGCACAGCTATGGGTAGCGTCCCGCGTGAGATGACTATGAACCTCTGTAAGTTGAGCAGCCAACTCCGAAGAGTCAGCCGGCGCCTCTCCCACTAGCTCCCTCTGTACAGCAGACAGATATGTGGAGTGTACGGGTAGCTGTTGGCATGCATTACGGTATTGCTCCTCGAAGCAAACGTAAGCAGCCTTCAACTCCACACCGCACATGGGAAAGGGGGGCAACTGCCGGCTCTGCTTGGCCTTAGCTAAGGTGGGGGTCGAAGACCCCCCCAGGGTGACAAAAATTCAGACGCACTCGTCGACCACTGGCACCTCGAAATCACCGTCCTCTGCCAAGGGTACCGCTTAATAAATTCCGGCAGGTCAAACTTCCTGCGGGCACCCGAAAGCAGAGGGTCGATGACCTTGCTAGGAGCGAAGGTGTGCCCCGGAAGGCGGAACTCAGTCGGATCCGACTCAGGCATAGGCACAGCCACCTGAGGCAGTACCTGAACAATCTTATCCCATACGTGCCTCAACGAGGATGCGAAGGAGAACGTTCCCGAAGCCTCCGAGTCATCCCCTCCCTCCTCCATCCACTCCTCATCTCTCGATTCCGAGCCGACCGTAATCGACTCATCCTTGAGAGAGTAAGTGGACGAGGTAGGAAAAGGACGCCAGAAGGCCTGGGCCTTCACATCCCCGGGCTGCCCCCTGCCCGAAGCCGAGTCCCGGTCCCGAGGTGCCGGGGGTTCAAGGGAACCCACCTGGCTCTGGGCCATGGATCCACTAGCGGGAGCCTCGGCCTCGGAGAAGGCATCTGACTCCGCTAGGGTAAAGGTGCGGAGGAAGTGAACGGGCCAGCGCCCGCCCCCCTTCGCTGGGGAGCGACCTCGAGCCGGAGCCGGAGCCCGGTCTCAGATCGTCCCCGAGGTCAAGTGGCCTGCCTTGGCCGACGCCAGGCATTCCACAAGACCTCAAAACCGCGCCCAGCGCCGACAATGGGGAAGGCCCAGCCCGCATCTCCTCTCGGAGTTGGGACTTGACCTCCACCATCATCGACTTAAACAGAGCAGAGATGTCTGCTAAAGAGGGTGCAGGTGTGGGCACCTCGGGGACCCTAGAGCCTTCTCCCCCGGCCCTCGGAGAGGGGGCGGAGGAGACAGTTGCAGAAGGCGTTTTTGACTTGGCCTTACTTTTACTTTTTAGAAGGGGGGGGGGGATGGCCTTTTTGGAGTGTATATCCATCCCTGCCTCGAGTAGGCTCTTATAATGCAAGTGGTCGGCATGCCGCTGCTTCATTGTTTTAGGGGCAAAGGCCCTGCACACTTTAGGCAGCAATCATGCTGATCCTGGGGCGGAATGTTTAGCCCACATCCCGTACAAAGTTTGAAGGTCTGTAAAAAAGACCGTAAATACTGAGTTGGGTTGGGCGGGAAAAGTGTATCAGTGCGATATTAAAGATCGGAAAGACACGTGCTTTTTAAATTGTGAAAACAGAAGCAAAGGCATAATGTATAATGCGATTTGTAACGCGATACTAATAGCCAATGTCCGTAAGATATTTTAAAAAAAACACCATGTGGGCGGGTTACGCGCTAAGGTGTAAAAAAAACCTAAAAAGGTAAGTGTAGTTATAATCTAGTACAACACCTTGGGTTTTGTAAAGGAAAACGTGCAGTTCAAATCTGTATGATATATCGAAACCCCAAGCCATTTTGCTGGCCTTGGCGTTACATGTGTCAGACAGTGGAACCACACAATGGACGCCATTACGGTCATTTGAATTCTAATGCACCGTACATGTGGCGTTTCTTCTATGAGAATTACAACCTTGTAACTTTACAATGCGAGGTATTACGCCTTTGCAAGGAAATAAATGTACCATACATACAGTTTGGTCAGTCATGTTGTCTCAGTGTTACGATCACGTAGTTTGAAACTTTTCTTGAAATATTCACACGTCCTGTCAGGTGTATGACATAAAGGAAAGTGATTTGGGTGAGAGTTGCTTCCCCTGGCGTGACGCGCCGTGGAGGGTGAGGCCCCGTAAGGGTGGTCGTATATCATACAAAAACAAAGTTTTTTGTGTGGTAACAATTTTTATTAAGGATTTGGGTGAGAGTTGCTTCCCCTGGCGTGACGCGCCGTGGAGGGTGAGGCCCCGTAAGGGTGGTCGTATATCATACAAAAACGAAGTTTTTTGTGTGGTAACAATTTTTATTAAGGAAAATGGTTACAACTATGTCATGTAGATTTTCTTGAGCAAGGAAAATGCAATAAGTGCCCAAAGGAGGATTTAATCTGAAAGAGAATCAAGAATTTATTGCACTATATACAGGATACTAGATGTGAGACTGTAGAACACTTAGTATCCTCATCTGCGCTGACTGGCTGCTGTGAGCTGTCGGGCCAAGATGAGAGGTCTTTGAAAGGTGAGAGTGAGTGAGTGAGTGTGGTTTTACGCCGCTTTTAGCAATATTCCAACAATATCACAGCGGGGGACACCAGAAATGGGCTTCACACATTGTACCCATGTCGGTAATCGAACCCGGGTCTTCGGGGTGACGAGTGAACGCTTTAACCACTAGGCTACCCGACCGCCCCTTGAAAGATGAGAGGACCAAAGTGATGAAGACCAGGGACATCGGAAACAGAGACATCACGAAGGTAGTGGGAAGCAAAGACCGTGTCAGATCGCCAGAAACATCCTTCCATGATGGCTTTGAGTGTGCAATTACTGTGCAATGCTAAGGTGAAAGCCACAGCCCTCATCTCGTGAGGCTCCGAGGATGATAGAACACAGCCAAAAGGAAGTGGTGGTTCGAGATACCTCTGAGGTTGCAGCCATTGATAATGGGATAAAAAGACGTTTGCGTAAACAACAAGAGGCCTGAGATGGCGGCGGAAGGGTAAATAGGCGATATGGTTGTCCTGGGAGCTGGTTCTTAGCAATAAAGTCCCAGCACAAACCCAGGAAAACTGTTGATGTTGATGACCGGACTCTATGGACGTCTAAAGCATGAATCTCACTGATTTGGGCTGCTGTGGCCAGGGCGAGGATGAAGACAAGTGGTTCATACTTGGCTGAAGATAGGTGATGGATCGTTGAGATCCCATGCTGAAGGTGCCAATCGAGACAATTAGTTCACAATGTGGTATGAGTGAATCAACGCCTGAAGCTCAGCAACAGTGGATATCTTGGAGCCAGTAGATACAATTAATAGAAGCCAAATAGGTAGGCAAAGTTGATCCCTTCAACTTCCTAGTAGAGCAGAGACGGAGGTATTGTTTGACTGCAGTGGTGGGAGATGAAATATCCCTAGCTGAACAATAACTTTCAAACGCCTTCAACTTGTGGTCATACAAAGTTTTTGTAGAGGTGCAATGCACTGACGTAATAGTCCTTGCCAACTTCTTAGAATAACCCCAGGCTATGAGAGATCTCTGGAGATGACCCAAACGCAAAGATGGAGGGTCTCTGTAGACAAATGTAGCTGATTGTGGCTGCATGAGAAGGTCTGACCGCAGAGTAAGAGGATGGTGATGTTGATCGGCGACATTGAAGAGGACGGTGAACTTCTCACCAGGCAAATGGGCACCACCAAAAGGAGTAGAAGACTCTTGGTGGTCATAACCTTCTGCAGGATCCAAGGAAGGAGGCCAGGCGGAGGATATGCATAAGCCAGGAGATCTTCCCATGATTCTGCTAAGGCATCGCGATCCAATGCCAGCTGATCCAGTATGGAGGATATATATTTCTGCAACTGTTCGTTGAAGTCTGTTGCGGAGAGGTCAAGATCTGGGGTTCAGTAAAGGCGGTAGATCCAGCGAAAGACTTGAGAATGGAGTTGCCATTCGATCTGGGATGGTTGATCATGGCGGAAAAAGGCATCTGCTATTCATTCTGGATCCCTGGAATGTGCCTGGCACATGAAGTGAAGTGAGTCGACAAGGGTGAAGAACTGAAATGTCGTTCAGATGAGTGACGCACACTTGGTCGACCCCGTCTTGTTGATGTACCAGACGATGGCCACATTGTCTGACTGGATCCTGGCTGGAGACGACTGAAGAAGATCCACCCAATGAGTGATGACCTCTAGATTGTTGCTGTGAAATTTCCTGTTGGCACTTGACCAATGCCCACCAGTCTGTTCATTGTGAAGGTTAGCGCCCCTACCGACTGTGGAGGCGTCAACGAAGAGGTGGTGCTCCGGTGCAAATGCCAGCAAGGAGACTCTGGCGCAAACATTCAACTCTTGAAGCCACCACCGAAGGTGACCATGTTGGTTCAACGGGAGCCGAATCTAGATATCGCAAATGTCCTCTTGGAGAAAGGGACGGAGGAAGCACTGAAATGGGCGCAGGTGTAAATTGACTTGTCGATAACGGAAAATCCATTGAGTAACGTAGATCTGGTGAAGCATGTCATTCTGGCGAGCAGGCGATCTGACAATCATTTGGTCATTTACGATCTATCGAATGACAATCCTGTGAGCGAAGATCCATCGCCAGTCGTCGACCCCTTGCTCGATGACAATCGTCCTTCTGATCAATAGGGCTGTCGCCATTAGATAGCAGGAGAGGTATACTTACATCCTCAGAGAGCTGCAGGGAGTGGTGATGTACAAATTCACGAGCAGGTAAGGTGGTGAGGTAACCCTCTGCTGATGGCTGAGACTTGTGCAAGGTTGAGTGACAGGGAAACACTCCTCGTCTTACTTGCAATAAGAGGGGAACTGCTGACAAAAGTACAGTCCGGTGGTCAGTAGAAAGCGGGACAACTGTAGGAGACAGTGATCTGTCATGTGCATGGTGTGTGGTCTGCCCAGAGGCGGGGAAGTTGGCAGTCTAAAACTAGTTGGAGAGCAAGTCCTCATCAATGGAAAGTGATGTAATCGTCGCCCAAGTAGTCTTTTCTTGTTTTTCTTTGCATGAAGACGAAGGCAGAGTCACATGGGATAACACAATTTATTTGGTTTTCTTTGTGGTGGGTGGACCATGCTCAGAATCTTAACATGACACCTTTGAGCGACAATCAGCCGCCATTTTTGACATTTTGCGAAGGTAAGTTTTGAAAGCAGATTCTGACAGGGTAACACACTGCTGACATCGTGTATCAATATCACACACTCCACGACAATCACAACATATAGGATGGGGGTCAAGTGGAGAAAGCAGGCGACTGCAGTCTGTGCAGAGGGGGCGTGATGATGATATCGTATTGTAAAGTTAGTGAGCTCTGTCAAAAACCAAAAACCAAAATATATTCTCTGTTCAGGTAACGTCTATAACATCAGGCGATAAATAGAATTGAGAGTGAGGGTGCTCGATATGTCGGGTGATCAGATCTCAGGAGTCGTGTCGCACGGAATTGCAGAGAGGCGTGACCCATGATCACTTAGTTATGTGAGGGATGTGTTGGGCCGGTTTGTTTTTTGAAGCTGGAAACTTTGTTAAAGGATGTTTCCACACCAGGATCGAAGAATATGAAAAAGAGCATAGTGTGAGAAAGGATAAGTTTAAAAATACGGTCCAAAGATCATGTGAAGATGGCTAATGGACCAATCAGATTGCAGGCTTCTAAACACTGGGAAATGAAATTGTATCCTACCCAAACAAACTGCAAAAGATGTAAAACTGAATACACCAATTGGACCACAGAAGCAAACAGTTGCTGGTTATCCATTCTAATGCCCTTCAGAGTGCACTATCATAATCATGATATGGAGTGGGCATGGGTGGCCCAGTCGTTTAAGGCGCCGCAATTGGCTGTGCAGAGTTGCATCCCTTGGGCACGCCAGAAACCTATGATTGTGGGTTCGAATCCCGGTTCACCCTGATTATGTTTCTAGGTTTGTCAGTGCCATACCCGTGCTCGTTGGTTTCACTGAAGTGACAAACGTCTGAGACCTGCATCACTTTGGGCTTTCCTCCCACATTAAGCCGACACGCCGCGATATAACTGGAATAGTGTTAAAAGCGGCGTTCAACCCAACTCACTCACTCATGATATGGTAATCACTTATGTAGGTTTATTGGAACTTATCACCTAACCATATACACACACAACCTCAAAATAATCATTTCTGTGCCTAGCACCATATCATGCAACACCTCAGGGATTTGTGGACCACTGCCCAAACTCTAGATGTGAAGGAGTACTCACCCAATCTAGAACCCTACCTAGAGATTTTGAAGAAAGTGTAGTGTATCTGCTTAATCATGACGTTTTACAATAGCCAAATGTGCCTCTTGTTCATTAATACCAGAAATCCTGGGTATGTGGGAATGAGTCAGGAACCTGACATTTGAGTTTGGGTAAAAAATATAAATTGAATAGCCCCATACCATCATCTCCCTCACATGTGGAATGCAGTTAAGTGGAGCCAAAATAGTGAAATAGTCATAAAACTATGTATGTAGATGGGACTTTGTCCAAAGTTCTGATTCGAAGGATACAACATTCGTAATAGCTCTTTGGTGACAACATGGATGTCCTGAGTTCTCCTAGCATTGATGAAGCATGCTTTAGGCCATCCATCAGTTTGCCCTTGTCCTGTAGAAAAATCACAAAGCTGGTTATATTGTGCAAACGAAAAAAGAGCCACCTCTAAATTTTATATGCTACGGTAGGTCATAAAAGATTATAATAAAAATTAAATCAGGAATATGCAAACAAAATTGTGCAAGACACTGTACCTCACCTGGATATGAAATCAACAATTAAAAATGTCAAAAAGACAGCCACTTAAAAATAGATGCTCTCACCATTGATATTCCAATATTTTTTATATACATACAGAGGACTTGAAATCACTCACTAAAATCCAAGGAGGATGAGAGGTACCGTATACAGAGCCAAAAATACATTTTGAGAGAATGGTTAAGAGTATGGTATGGAGAAGGTAAAATTCATAATAATGCAAAAAAACGTTCCCACAACTCACTAAATATACACCATATTTTCAAAATAATCAAAATGTCTGAGAAATGGCCATAAGCAGATTTTTCAGCATGGTATCTAGCTCCCTTGCTTTCTGCACATGTACAAGGCAGGAAAACCTTATTTCGTTAAAACAATCAAAGTTCTTGATTCAGATTATTGGGGAGGTGGCTGGAATTACTTCTGATAGATGCAGAATTCTTTGAATTATTTACAATCATAACTATTTTTTTATAATTCCTGTGAATACTTTACCTCTATTACATCAATGCCTGAATATACCAGAGGGACAGGTAGGTTGACATCTAGCAGTTATTAGAAAATAAAAACCTTTCACACCCTCTGATTATATTTAATCTTCTTGATGGCATTTTCTCAGTTGGGTTGTTTCAACTATTGGGAAACCTGATGGACCTTAAAACACATCAATTCCTGATGTCTGGGGCTATATCAAGATAAACAATAGAACCGAGACACCACAGGTGGTCTGAATTGGAAATAAATGTTCATGGTCATTCTCAAATTCAATGTAACTCGTAAGATCACTGATATGACTTTGACTGACCAATGAGGTGCTGGAGATATAATTCTGTATGAACAGCCACCACTTGAGATCCTACATCAGACTTGTAGGGATGGTGTCATTTTGAAAGTCTTTAGAGAAACTGAGAGGGTTCAACCAAGCTTGTATGGCGCGAAGCCACAATCTTGCCCTAAACTTCATGTTTTGTAAGGATGTCAGGTTCCCAATCAGAGACATCCATCAATGAAGTGTATGGTTTGGTTGATTCGATACCTTGTTTATCATCCATAATGTACAGAGATAATGCTCAAGGCACCTACACAAAGCTGATGATCAAAGTTGTTTCTCTATAGTGCACCTCTTTGACCTCTATTTCTAGCCTAGCCTGTGGAGATGTACACTTATCACAAAGAATCTGCATTTCTTGAAGAGACTTGGGGGGCATCAGCGACATGTTGATCCACACAACTTTCTAGTCTTTAAAACCACTGAAAATAATTAGCCTGGCAACCAGAAACTTAATGTGCTATGTTAACATTAATATTTTTTAAAAATTATCCCATTTTGCATGGAAGGCAAGATAATATCACTAATTATGGATAGTTGAGGGTGAAAAGAACTTTTGATCACAAGCCAAATTAAGAGAATTAGGCATATATGCAATGGAGGTAGAGTATTTGCAAGAATTATGTATGGTATGGCTGCACTTTGATTTTGTTAGCCCATGACAACAGCTATTATGCTGTAAAGTTTGAATCAAGGTCAAATAACATATTGAAAGAAAACCATAGAACACATTTGTTAAGCACCAATAATAATTACACCTATGCCAAATTTCAATACATTTTGAAAAAAGATGGCCTCCAAAGGTATTCTAAATATGGACACTGTGTATGTTAAACATCAAATCAGAATTCTGTGAGCTTTTTATATATACACCATAGGTGGGATCGCTCATACAAAGCTTCTACATAGGCTTTGTAGTTTCAGAGGAGATATCAAAAATGCAAAAGTTAACGATGGACGGACGGATGACGGACAATGCTCCAGACATAAACTCACTTGACCTTCAGTCAGGTGAGCTAATAATGACATCTTGAATATGCCTGCCAAATGGACGTTCAAAATGTAAAAGTTAATGATGAATGGACAGACAACCTGAAAAAACAGGCCACATCAAAAGCTCACTTGATTTTCATTCAGGGGAACTAAAAATATCTTGCAAGAAGGTGTATATAAAGTGTGAGGCCATAGTAGGGTCAAAACTTTAAATACGCGGCACATGAGGAGTGACGGGGCACAGTAATGTAGCTGGCATTAGGTCATACAGTAGGTCCATTTCAGGTGACAAGAAACACCAGCTAAGCAAAGTATTACAGCACACGCGACAAATCCCAAATTCCAAATATAACACACCCCGACGTTGTAAATTAACACAAAACACAAAAGTTTCAGAGCACTCGGTTCAATCCCCACCAGTCCATTCCGCATCGTCCGAATTGGTTTGTGATTATCCAAACACAAGCAACACATTCATAAATCGGTGATATTCCCAATTTTCTAGTGCCATCAGAGGGTTCACGCGTCGGGGTGTTTTCCATAACTGCTCCATAAACGTCATTTTCAACAGCAGTAAGTATAAATTTCATCCTCATGCTCCCGTTCAACTCGAAATGCACCTCTTTACAAACTTATGTGACGTCATACATAAATCCGCGCTTGAAATTATAGGAATTCAACGTCAGTTTGGATGGGTTCAATGAAGTGTGAACGATTTAAAAGTGCTGGTTAAACTTTCTTGTGAACCTCCTTGCAAGCTCGGAGGTTCACACAGTTTAACCAGCGCTTTAACATGCCTCATCCAGTACAAATCATAACTGAAAAATATTCAAATACCTATTGCCATATATATATATATGTACTCACAAGACAGCGGATCATCTGGAAGGCCTGATTCTTGACAACATTTGTGGCTTCCTCCAGGAGCTTCTCCTGCTCCTCCTGCGGAGACAATTGTGGTGTTGACGGCTACAAATACACAAGGACATTGTGAGCACTACAAATACACAAGGACATTGTGAGCACTACAAATACACAAGGACATTGTGAGCACTACAAATACACAAGGACATTGTGAGCACTACAAATGCACAAGGACATTGTGAGCACTACAAATACACAAGGACATTTGAGCACTACAAATGCACAATGACATTGTGAGCACTACAAATACACAAGGACATTGTGAGCACTAAAAAATACACAAGGACACTGTGAGCACTACAAATTCACAAAGACACTGTGAGCACTACAAATACACAAGGACATTGTGAGCACTACAAATACACAAGGACATTGTGAGCACTACAAATACACAAGGACATTGTGAGCACTACAAATACACAAGGACATTGTGAGCACTACAAATACACAAGGACATTGTGAGCACTACATATACACAAGGACGTTGTGAGCACTACATATACACAAGGACATTGTGAGCACATCGTGTCACCATCACTGTAATGCATGAGTTTGATGCTGGCAGACGTGTGTGGACATCAGTGGGGATTTTGTTGCAAAAGAATTAGCAGCCAACTCCTCCAATACAGTCCATCATGGTTAGGTTCAGAACTTTAAACCCACCCATCAAATGTAGATTACTAAACTAGTCGTCGTTGGATATTGTTTATATAACGAGTGTATTTCAGAACGTATCTGGTGAGGGAAATACACGGGTAGGAATTTATTTATTACTCGCTTAAACTTGGCATATTAATATTGACATTCAACGTTGTTTGTATAAGGGTGGCTAAGAATACAACATTGGAAGTTAATAATTCAACAATCAGCCGTTTCCTTAGGGTGCAACCTGGCAATGCGTGTGCAGCTTTCTCAAAGATCTATATACTAAAAAACAATAAGAAGACAATTCTAAAATCATGTTCATAATTGCATTTATATACACAAACATCGCAAAGTTAGAAACATCTGCATTCAATGGAAAATCCATCTTCAAACTTGGTTCAGTATAAGTGAGCGAGACGTTTGACTCATTTCATCATGGCTATGTTATTTCACACGTGTCAACAGATAACTAATCATTAAAGTGGTATGAACGCTACCTACTTCAACCTCATACCAGATACAAATCCCTTGCCTCTGACTAGCAAAAGCATTTCCACTCAGAATACATCACTTACAGTCTTGGGACATAGTGGTTCTGGTTGGGGAAGCATAAGCTCAATGCAGTACAATTCTAAATTTTACTTACAATAAAAGCTGCCTTCTGTAGTTAAGGGAAACAACATTCCAACTTTCAGTCGCCTAGCCGGCGCCATTTTAATTAGCCTGCGTACTCACCAGAAGCCAATTAGCGCCAACGACCGAAAAAACTGGGCTTCTGGCCTACTGGTAAATCATGATACTTACTAGGGCTGGGACGAGACCAAATTTACTACCCGGCTACCCTCCACCTTATTACCCGACCCTACCCGGGTACCCGTTGTTGATATTTTGAGATAGGTACAACCTGTCTGATTTGGAAAAATTTGACCGTAGCCCTGGCAAAATGTATTTATTTACATGTGTAAAACGATCAGGTCATTCATACACTGAAGTTTACTGCTTGGAGTTTGCATATAATGCAACAATTAAAGGTCAAGGTAATAAAGCACTCAGTGGTTCGCATTGTGTTTTGGGTAATTATTTGATCTACGATTAGGTTATATATTCAGATCTGATGTGGTGAATGTACTACATGTTATGTGATATGCACGTGGCAGCACAGCAAGAGAGGAATGATCAGTAGAGATGCAAAAAACATGGATCAAAGGATTAAACGATAATATGTTGATTGATTAATCAGTTATCTTGCACATTGGATTTGTCAAAAGTAAGAGTTTATATACTAAAGCAGATTGAATACACCCATATCTGAGCGTGAAGTGCCAATGTAAAAACTACATGCTTTGTTCAAAGGATTAGCCAATAATACATTGATTGCTTGCTCATTGTTGTCTCACTCAATGGATTTTTAAAAGAATCCTTGACATCATGAACATAGTTGTCACCTGTGCTATCTCAGCTGACCAATGAGACTTGATGTCTATGTGAAACATACTTACGTGATCAGTTGAGAGACGAACATGGGTCACAATACCCAGAAACACTATACATGTATATATTTTAAAATATTAGCTTGTTACAAAATCATGTGACATCGGACAAGTTTCTTTGTACAGCTTCTGATGTATGGGATAGTGTTCCTTTAGGTGGATATCTGCAGTTACATTCCTCACTGCCTGATATTATACATATAACCTTTGTCAGTTGTAATTATGATATTTGCATATGATTTCCCTTCATTTGCTGTAGCATAACCCGGGTGCCATCAACGTGACGGATCAAATTGTTCTCTATGTGAAACATATCCAGCAATATCAATCAGTTGTTCCACAGTGCTACACTTATGGTTATTATTATTTTAAACATACATAGTAAAAGCAGCAACTCAAAACAACTTGATGTTGGAATATTTTATACCTGATATAAGAATAGTTTCAGATACTATTTGTCCAATCATTACATCAAAATTCTTTGAAGTAATATTTACTTCCTACTAACTAAATCACCGGTAGATAGGTAGAAAATGTGCATACAGCTGATTGCTATTTCCGGCTTATTTTGCGAGAAAATACACATGGTAATCTTTATTCAAAGGGCAAGTACACACGAAAATCAACCTATTTTTCTTGTACTTTTTCAACATGAAAAGTATTTACCAAGTAGTTTCATAGCCAAACAATACAAATATCACAAGTAACTAATTTATTTAATTCACTGAATCGATTCATATTTTTCACATTTACTGAGAGTTCTATTTCCATAATAAACACACCATGACTAATGCTTCTTGCAATATGATGTCACTGGTGCCAATTGATAGAGGAATGACGTCATAAGACTTTATTAGACCCGTTTCACCTGGTGTAAGTACAGGTGTGTACTTCTAGGTTCTTAGATGCACAGCCTGCTGTTTTGTTTGGTCTTGTTCAAAATACAATGTTGAGCACACTATTACACTAAAATTATTTGGTTTTCCGAAATCGCTGAAATGATGACTGAGAAGACAACAATGCATGGATAATGTGCTGTAAGGTTCCTGACGATAGTTGAAAGGGTTCGTTGTATATATTGCGCTTATTCCATTTTTTGTGTTGCGCATATTGACTCTTGTTGAATTGCTGTCGTGTTCTGCGAGAAAATATACATGCTGGTTTATGAAACTGTTCGGAAGCGGATGGTGTACGATCCTTATATGGAAACGGGCTAAAGGTGACAGCACTCTCATCCAGACCCTGACTGGGCTGTTTTTGTAAACAAATGCTGTAAAGTTGAAGTAACTCAGGTAAGTTTGCTGTATAGTTATTAAACAGATAAAATCTAACAACAGTAATATTTTTAAGAAATGTATTTTAGCAGGATTAAAGTCATATTTGTTCATAGTTACTGTAGATAATCATAAATATCTGCGATTGTGTCTTGTTCTTATTTTCACTTCTGGTTAGCTGATCATTGCAATATGTAACTAATTCATGTAATTTTGGTGGAGAAAGTTGAGTTTTAAGTAATTTCGAATTTCATGTTTGTGTTAAGTTTTACAGCCATTCTCATTCACGAGCGGGGACAATGCCTATGAATAGCACTACTCCTCAATGCCGAGGACAGTCAGTATGTAGAGGGCCCATCTGAAGAATAGAACCATGAAGGTCACTCGTTACACACGCGCACAGCAACTTATTTTGATGATATATGCATAATATCTCTTAAATATACCATGTTAATAATTCAATAAAAACCAAAACATTTTATAGCTTTCTATGATGTTGACATGTTGTGTTTATTACTACTGGTTTCAAAACTTTTTGAAATATTGTGGACATGTTTCAATATCACTGATGTAATTTTATAACCTTACAAGTTACATATGTTTACATAACTGTCTCCCAAATAAACATTTATGGTATTGGAGATTTATTGTCAGATTTGTTTTATAAAAATAAAAGAACAAGTCAATAATTAATACAAATCCTTGCTCACAGTCTAGAAAAAAACAAGTGAAAATGTCTGTCACTGATGAAAGTAAATCATATTATGTTTTCTAAACTTTATTTCAAGTGTTCATATAAAACATTAATTGAATATTTCATAAGTCTGAACTTATTGAAAATGCTAGTTTCAACTACAAAACCATTTTAGCCTGAAACCATTCCAGATGATTGCTGAAGGGAACACCAAAAAATTATATGACTTACCCATTCCTTGATTATGGGGTTCTAAGGTTATTCCTTATTTCATTGCAAATCATAAATCATGAGACATATATTATGAAGGGACTAACTCTGAGCTCATTACCTTGCAACATTGTTTCATTACGACTAAAAATTTGATTTTTGATTTTTGATAGTCATATTGATCGACTGAAAACGTGGAACTGTGCATAAGAAACAGACGTTAAAATTTCAGTTGGCAGGTGGGCTAGGGACAGTTCAGTATCTTTAGCCCGACCTAGATTTTGCAAGCCATAGGCTAGAGCAACAGTTAACTATTTGGCACAGTGCACATCACACCAAGTAGAATCATACAATGGATCAAGGTGGTACAAATTCATCAGGAATGACTGTAATATGACCAACAGTCCTGGACGATGGTTGCAGTCCATCCCTGTAGTACAATAACCCTCAGTGTGTAATTATTTACAATCCAACACACCTCTAAAGAAAAAAAACCCTGACATTAGAGAGGGCGGGTGCTTGATGTAACTAATAATGTCATTTGGACGCCTCCAACTGGCTGTCGCTGGTGGTGATAGTTCGCTAACATTTTTAGACCCTATGATCTTTTTTGGTTATGCTTTGATCTATATCATATTCGATTCGCCGTCTAGAATCTACACGACAGAAATAAAAACAAGCAAGTACCCACCATCTTGTAATCATGTGACCAATATAATGAGTGTATTTATACGAACTGACTCTGTCCGAGTACAACGTTCTAGGTCGAAAACACAAATGTGCCCAATGCCGAAACTGTACACAGCTTTTTAGTCAAAACGGTCATGTATTGGCGTGTCAATTTCCTTCCACTGTGGGTTTAATTTGTTTGATAAATAAAATAACTATAATTAAGAATATTGACTTTCATTTTGTGTTTATTTGAGATTATTTAGAGTTAAATAAATACCAAGTGATTCCGTGGCATCTGATTCCATATTTAGCGAAAGAATATGTTTAGTAGACGCGCCAACTAACGGAATGCAGGAGAAAATGGCTTAATTGAAGAATGTCCCTAGCCAATTTGGAGAAGATGACCCTAACCTTAATTTTGTCATAATGGCCACAAATTAGGGAGAAACAAAACTAACGCAAATCCGAAGTGATTTAGTTTATTTATTGTTAACAAGTTCAGTTAATTTATTGTCAAACTACTCTGCATAATTGTGTGTCAAGTGGTCTGTCACAAGGTCACATAGTCTCCATATAAACAATCCTCTTATTTCAACCATGGCAGCTTCTTATTCCGACACAACAAGCATCAGACATCCATCCACCTGTGTTTTACCCATATGGCTCCCTCATCAGCGAATTTTGAACTTCGGATAGAAGCGTCGACTGTGGTCAGGCTGGCAGCAGGTATATATCGTTCATGTCGTTTTCATGTTATTCTTTATTTACTAGGAAACTCCAGACGCGAGTGCTACACTGCCACATGACGTTGTACGTGGCGTCCTCTATAGGACACGCGTAAATAATCACGATACACGTCTGCTCCTCGATAAAAGTTACAGCAAACCGCTCCGCTAATGTTTGATATTTATAAAGCGATTTTACTTCAAATACAAACTTCAAAAATAGTCCTCTGTGTGACTTGCATTCGACACTGAGAACGACAGCCAATGAATGCAGTGTTATTGTCGTCGCAACCTACGAGAAATCGACCAGCGCTTGTTTTCTCGTTGAGGTAGACAGGACCCTGTCAATCACAACGGACGATGGGACATGGGTAATGGAACAGTGGACTTATTGGTTATCTACTACTCTTAAAGTTCCTGATATATTGTTAATTTCTCAGTTTTATTTTTTAACCCTGAAATGCATGACATTTGTTTGAAAGTTTATCACAATAACGAGAGGGAGAGTCTAGAGGTTTTGGAGAAGTATATGGGACGGGAAGAGGTCAAAACGGTAACACGTCAAAATGGCCACAATCAAAACCTTGGTCAGTACGGCCCCACTAATTTTCGTGGTCATTTTGACTTTTAGGGTAGCTGTTTTGACTTTACATGTGGCCATATTGAAGTGTGGCCGGTTTGATTATAACCCTGTCGGACTTGTGTGTAATTGCTTGAACAGAAAGTACTTAGGTCTACATTTCTATTTTTTAAACAGTTGTTTATGACATGTCATATTTGGTCTTCTAGTTTCTTAAAATTCCCGATATGTAGTTAGTTGTTAATTTTTATTTCTATTTAAACCCTGAAATGCATGACATGTCTCAGAAAGTTGACCCCAATAATGAAATGGTGAGAGCTTTTGGAAGTCCGTGTGACAGGAAGAAGTCAAAATGGCCACTGAGACCTTATTCAAAAAGACCACACAAAACTAAAAAAAGGCCACAGACCATTGTCAGAACGGCCCCATTACTTTTGGTTTGTGGCCATATTGACTTTTTAATCTTCTCTCAGTCCAAATATAATCACCTGGTCATGAATTCTTAAAGGTTCTTGACTTTGAAGGTGAACATGTACACATGAATTATCAGAGATCTAAAACAGAGTGGGAATAATCATTGTCTTGAAATCAACTGCCATACTTTCTACTTTCCTTTGTCTCCCTTCCATTAGTCTCCCGCCCAATCAGTCGTCTTTGACATCGTGAGTCCAACCAGTGCACGGCTCTTAGACGTTTCTTTGTTTCTACACACTCATGCATATTTCATGTATCGGTGATCCGTTGATTTGCCAAAGCCAGGCAGAAGAAGATGTTTTTATATGGGAGCAGCAGCCCGAACTGTTGTGTCTTCAGGGGCACTCACTCCCAAGGCAAAAAGAATAACCATTTAGGAACAAGAACATTCTTTACGGTTACAGTGTTTATCGAGCGAGAAAAACTTCATAGAGTATCCCTATCAGTTTCTATTCCTATTCAATAAAATCCAATATCAGGAATGATGGTCATTTTAGGCAGGCGCGGTGTCTTGTAAGAGAGTCACGGTATCTCGCAATAGGGGTAATACACCCAGCAACACAAACTTAATTATTGTATAGATCTGAAACCACACGGCATTGAATGGATGATACATTAAAAGGTGAATATCAAGATTATTGAATTATTCTTAACTGAATAATGTATGTCATATATAATTTTAACTCTCAGATTTTGTAATCCAGGAAATATATCCTTCGATAATAGGATATAAGAGTGTACTTATCTTGGCTTTCCAGTTTGTACTACCATATTCAAGTAATATTAGAGTAAGTCTCTTGCGTAACCGATAATGAAATCTCATAAAAACAGGAATAATATGGATATGGGTGAATTGGTTAATCACATGTATATGTTGACAACCTTATGCTAATTATTAGTAGGGCTGAAACGATAGCCCGGGACACCGATGCATCGCGATACACTCCATACGATACGGTGTGCGATTTGTGAGGTGCTGTATCTCGATTTTTCACGATACGTTTTTTCAAAGACGTATAGATCTATACGTACGTCTTTTTTTGTAAATAAACTTTTATCACAGATACGTTTTAAATGTGTTTAAAGAAGCATCGAGTCCCCAGGCACCGTAGGCCGGTTAACCAGCCAAGCCTTAGTCACGTCAAAATAGTATATATTTTTATGGGCCTACCTGTCATACCATTCATTTATTAAATCTATCACATCTCACAATGACTGAAATACGTATTCTATTTCAATTTATCATTTTTTATTCATAGATTAAAAAGTTATTCACTTTATCCCGCAATGTTATTGAAAATATAATTCTCGGACATACACTTCGACAACGTGCACATCGAAAGTGTCAAAGAGCAAAACAAAGACGTTTCAATCAAACCTTTAAATATATCATACAAAGTGATAAATAAAATCAACATAAATATATCTAAAAGTGGTCAAACTTACAGCTAAGTTATTATTTCCAACTTTTCGTGCGTTCGCGTGTAATGTTAGTCAAATGACATCTCGGCTTTCGGCGCCTCGAATTCTCGGCTCGGACACGATGTTCAATGCCAAAATATATGCAGGAAAAGTCTTTGTCATAGCTTGCAACCTAGCATGATACATCCACGAAGCTCCATATTTTTAATATAGATCGCGATTTCCTGCTTAAAACGTTCAGAATAACACGATTTAACCAAAATATTTCGTAAAAATCTGAAATTCATCGTACACGAGGATTTGTAATTTGATTGCCTGCCTCAGGTCACGTGCTCAAATTTGACCAATCATGAACCTTATAGCAGATTTCGGCAAGAAAGCGTCATTAGAAACCAATCAAATGAAATCTTATGTTAAGCTACGAAAAGACTCAAGGCAATGTTACGAGCGTGTAGATGAAAAAACAAGCTTTCTAGCGATGTGTCATATGTCAGACACCGACAAACGTGTTATTCATACGAAGCATTCGAAAACGGAGGTATTTCTTCATGTTACTGAGCGGACAGCCGCTGTTATCTTGAAATGAGTGAAAAGAGATGCTATTCATAATTCTTTTTAAAATAATTTTCCAATTAGATCTACGTAATCAATGAAAATAAAAAATAAATAAGTAGATCTTTTGAAATCTTACATTTGCCCCAAATCGTCAAATTTTCGCTTCCTTGGTCCTTAATCTGGACGTTATGAATGTGCCAGCTTACATTTTTTATTTACAACGAACTTAATTCAGTTGTCAATGCATTATTTAAATAATGTGATAAACATAACTTATAAACACTAGGATTAGACCTTTCAAACGGTGTATAACAAGGCTGTTGCTATAATTATTTTTAATTGTTTTTTTTCCTTTATACATGAAAATGGCAAATCATTAGTTACTGGACACTGGGACATTTAGTATTTAGTATTTACTCCTAGAATCTACCATCTAGTCACAACTCACAAATATGTAGAACTGTTAGTTTTGTGTTTGCTAGCCATTACATGGAAATGGCAGATGATTCATTAAGTTAAAATACTCATAACAGTATATATTTTATGACTCATGAACATTCATTAACTTTCATTTAATTTTTCATGTTAAGAAACTAAGTTATATTCATTTATCTCTTGTCTTCTCTTGTCACTACGTGTATCGTAGCGTATCGAGATACGTATCGAATCGTGATGTAAGTATCGAGATACGTATCGTATCGTGACCTAGGTGTATCGTTGCAGCCCTACTAATTAGGTATCTTTCTTCATGTTAAAATGCGACTACAGTGTGTCCAAACGTATCAAAACCTGTCCTGCTTTAAGGCAGAATTCAAAGCTTCGTGTAAAAACTTTCTCAGAAAGAAAAATCGCAAAGTCACACAAAGTCGCACAGAATGCAGTAAATGATTACAGTAAGCCAGAAGAGAGTTTCAAGGCCAGTGTTTTAAAAACCTGCGAAATTGTAAATACATAAACCCTAAATGATTCAGGAATATCCTTACAGTAAGACAAACGCGATTGAGATTATCATGATATTAACTATTTCAAAGATATCAACAGAGCAGTGGAAACATCCTAGATGGTGTAATAACACATTCAGTTTCTTGATTGTAGTCAGTGAAAGCGGAATCGTGAAGGCTGTCAAACACCTTAAAACAGCAAAACACGTGGATTAGATAATATTTACAACAACAAATTAAAAGTGTCTATTCGTCACACTGAATTGTCATACGCGATTTGGTTACATTAAATAATAACGACAACACCTTTCCATACTCATACGAAATACCTGCAAAACGTAGCTAGACTGCATTGTACGATTCCCACTGTACCATTAGCATGTGTTTATTAATCACCATCAAATATGGAT